CAAAGAATATTTGGGGTGATTAATTACGCTGGAAAATTCATCCCTAATTTGTCTGCAAGAACAACTCACATGAGGAAGCTTTTAGAATCTCAAGTTATCTGGAAATGGGAAAGCAATCATGAGCAAGAGTTCCAAGACATAAAAAAGGTCATAAGTTCATCCCCAGTGTTAGCCTATTTTGACCCTCTAAGGAAAACAAGAGTTTCAACAGATTCCAGTAAGGACTCACTAGGGATGGTTCTTATGCAACAGCATGGTACTGATTGGAAGCCAGTGGCTTACGGTAGCAAATCCCTTACAGAATGTCAAAAAAGATGGGCCCAGATAGAAAAAGAATGTTTGGGATTAGTTGAAGGGTGTAACAAATTTCATATATACATATATGGGATGGATAAAATTGAACTTGAAACAGACCATAAGCCCTTGATACCAATATCCCAGAAAAATTTGAATGACATGACCCCAAGGTTACAAAGGTTGTTCATGAAACTGCAGAAATATGATTATACAATGATATACACCCCTGGAAAAAACTTGGTACTAGCAGACGCCCTCAGTAGAGCAAGTTTCAGAACAAAAAGATCAGAACCAAGAATTTCAAAACTAGATATCCAGGTAGAAAATCAAGTGAACATGATATTTAGTGAAATACCTGTCTCAGAGAACATTATGAGAAAAATCAAAATAGAAACAAGGAAAGACCCCATATTATCCAAGATTATTGATTATGTAAGAAATGGTTGGGAAAAGGGGTCAGAGAAAATATACTCCCAAATGAAACATGAAATTACTGTAGTGGATGATATTCTTTTGAAAGGGCAAACAGTAATTATCCCCAAAAGCATGAGGAAGGAAATATTAAATAGGGTCCATGAAGGTCACTTGGGAGTAGAAAAGTGTAAGCGAATAGCTAGAAAATCAGTATACTGGCCAGGCATTAATAATGACATCTCAGACATGATAGGAAAGTGCGAAACATGTCTTGAGCTGAGGTACAACAATGCAAAACAGCCATTGATAAATGGTGACAAAACAAAAGGCCCCTGGGAAAAGGTTGCAATAGACCTTTTCAAGCTCTTTTAGTGACTGATTATTTCTCAAACTACCCAGAATGTGTTCATCTGTCAAGTACAAAGGCAAAAACAATAATCAGTCACATAAAGTCAATATTTGCAAGATTCGGAATTCCCTTGAAAGTGAGAATTGATAATGCTACTATGTTTGAATCAAGAGAATTCAAGGAATTTGCAGACACCTATGAATTTGATTTGTCATTCAGTAGTCCTTTCCATAGCCAGGGTAACGGAAAGGCAGAAAATGGGGTCAAAATAGTAAAAAGGCTGATGAAAAAAGCAATTCGCAGCAATACTGACCCACATCTGGCCCTGTTAGCATACAGGAATGCCCCATTAGAGTGTGGTAAGTCACCAGCAGAGCTCTTAATGGGGAGACCATTAAGAACTCGATTACCATCTGCAATACAGGCCAACGATAGATTTACCAATATAGAGAAAAGTAAAGCCCTGCAGAAGGAGAAGCAGAAAAAATATTACGACAAAAACACGAAGCAACTTTCAGAGTTAGAAAACAATCAGACGGTTAGACTGAAAAGACACCCGAAAGATAAATGGGATGTAAAAGCCAGAGTTGTCGCAAAAGTTTCCTCCAGATCTTACAACACGATGTCCGATTTGGTGCTCTGATCTGGCCACATGAAAAGGTTTTCATACTATTTTATAGATGTCGCTGTAACATATTTTCAAGTATTTAGCCCCCGTAGGAACGGTGATTACTATGTCATAGAATGACTTCCGTTTGCAAGATTTATGTACAGAATTCAACTTTTTTCAAGGTTTGTTGTGCTTTTTACCGTTTTTCCGGGCGTCATTTCGTTCTCAAGTTACATTCTGTGAAAGATAAGGTAGAATTACGCGGGTAATACGTCGCTTTTATGATGTTCTTTTGAGAAATATATGGTTTTATTTAAAAAATTAAAATCACAGAAATTGTTTTTGATCTTTGATTCATCAAAAAATCAACTTTGTTAATTTATCTCACTAAACAATTTTATGGGAGATCAAGAGTCTAAATATCCCTATCACGCGAGGGCTAAAAAACAAGATGGCGTACTTATTATTTAATCCCGGGATTTTGTCCCATATGGCCCAGTTTGATTTCCTCATCAGTACAAATGAATTAACACTTACAGTACTGCAGTATATGTCTAGTTCATGCTCTAACAAACAGCTGGACTGGATTAAAATGTATTTTCGGCTGTACAGTACAGATTTAAAGATTTGCATGTACATTTCGCCTACGTATTTGTGACGTAGTTTTCCTCGAATTGGTACAGTTTATTATCACGTGATTATCGATTTTATAAAAACAGCGCTATCTATCAATTACTCCGTGCGTCAAAAGCATAAATTGAAATGGCCAGCTGGGGCTGCGAGATCTGCCGTCGTGCAAGGTAGAAACAGAAGGAGGGAAACTTTTTAGAAGGGATAGGAGAGAGCTCCTGGCATCAAAGGAGCCATTTAATGAGATAATGTGTCAAGACCTAGATATACAAACAAGACCTCCCACTCCTTGTCCCCCTAATTCCCATGAAACAAATCAATCAACCAACCCATCACCTGTTCCAACTAGTAACAGGTTCAGTCCCTTATTAAACATAGATGTGGAGCATCCAGCTACTGAATTAAGGAGGTCTGGCAGAGTGTCTAAACCAGTTAACAGACTCTGTTACAATTAATGACTTTTGATCAGTTAACTAGTTATTTAGACACTTGATACTTGTTATTAAGATACTTTGATAATTTCAAAGATACTTAAATCACATGGGTTATTAAAAAAAAATGAGAGTGTATCTAAAACATAAACTTTCGAAACTAGTGACTCCTATATTGTAACATAAAGCTTTCGAAATTAGTGACATCTATATTGCCTTTTTTATAATCATTCAAACTTTGAAACATTTTTCTGAGACACTTTGAGATGGTTAAAGATACTTACAATATTGTATGAATAAAAGGTGATTATAGGGTGCAGTTTAAACATCAACAATTTGTAGATTATTAGTGTGCTATGAATAGAATTAATGTACAATCATTCATAGATTATTGTTTAAGAAAAGTCTTTATTATGATTGATCATTTGTATTATTTTATATTCCTTTACATTCTTTAGAAAAAGGGAGATGTAATGATATCCAGTTTCTGGTATCATCTTGCTAACTGCCTTTGAGGTATTATGTTACTTGTACATGTGTGGGATTACAAATATACAACTTGGTCTTCTAAAGCTAGAACTTGTACTGTCCAGATCATTACAGATATAATAAAATATGCTGAATCAGCACTTTTGAGCCTAAACTGTCACCTGCAGGCAATAAAATACAATGCAACATAGTAATTTCATCAATACTGATACAACTAATGCACAAAATATAACTAGTATGACAGTATGCCTTAATTTGACATTGATGTCTACTTACCCCCCCCCCCCTCCATAACCACAGGCCAGATATTTTGTTATTTTTTTCTTATCTAGTAAATCCTGTATGAACTCAAAAATGTTTACATGTATTGAAGCATAAACCAAATTTGTCCTTGATTTTATTTCAGTTCTAGAACCATCTTGGAAGAGAAGATATACAATAAAATGTAATTAACATAGAACTTAAAGAATGTCTATATTTGGACATCAAAGGGTTAAAACCATACTTTTCTTTAGGTAGACATCGTTAAAATAACTTATAAGCCTAAAATATAACATATTTAGGTTGTGGCAACATAAGATTCCCCAGAATTAAGGAGGATTATTTTATTATAATTTTTTGAAATTTTACCCCTCTGAAAATTATGGGTAGGGGGTACAAAATCAATTTTCTCCCCAAAAACAGCTCTAGAACTTTGTACATGCGGATAAAAATGTTTTAAATGGTTCACAGATCCACTAAAATAAAATTCACGATTTGTTCCATCCAAAATCATAAGGGCCATTTTTTGTAATGAATTCCGTGTACTACAAGACATTTTTAACACAAACGTGTATCAGTATCATATGTTTAAGAAAATGTACATATTTGCAAACAAATAGTTCAGGAGACAACAGAATGGTCGATTTAATTCCTCACTTAAGTTACATAAACGGTTTTTCGAAAAACAGTTAAGATCTGCACTTTTAACCCAAACCGTTTATGTAACTTAAGTGAGGAATTAAATCGACGATTCTGTTGTCTTCTGGACTACTTTTTGCAAACATGTACATTTTCTAAAAAATATGATGCTGATACACGTTTGTGAGAAAAAACGTCGTTGGGATTCTGCCTACAACGCGTGAAATAAGGAAAAAGAAAAATCATACCTTCGACGTTCCGACATTTTGTTACCAAAACGATTCGTTTTGGTAACCAGCGTAATCGAGTGGATCACCAGTGCTATAAATGTTCAGACTTGAACACTGCACCTTTAGTTTTTTTTACCAACACACTATGCCACCATCATTTACTTATAAAACTTTGATAACTTTTATGATGATTGTTATTGAAACTTTTATAATACTTTGAAAGGTCTTTGATACATATAGCAAAAGAGTATACTGTATGCAGGAACACATCCACTATACATGTTCAATGGTATTTGGATAAAGAAAGGAGAATATTGTTCAAAGTATATGTATGGTCTCACTGGTCTGTTTATATAAATACAATTTGATTTGACAATCTACATCTATGAAGCAAGTGAATATCAAAGTATCATTTAAAAAATTCCACATTTCAGGAGGCATCTTAATTAACAGAGAAGTATAGCACTGTCTCATCGGCCATCTTCGTCCTAAATGGATCAAACTTTGATTCGCTTTATTTGTTGGCCAAGGCTTCCAACAATTGCACTTGACTAATGCATTTGTTTCGCACACACTTAATAAAACTGGTAGAAGTATTGATAAGATGTGAATTGTAGTAGCCTCAAAATATCAAATTTAAGTTGTCTTACATCATAATGTGTCCACAGCTGCATTCCAAAAGATGAAACTCTGAATACACTTGAAAAGAACTGCTCAGCTTCAAAGAAATGAGGGATCTTCAGATCTTCAGCTAACTCAGGAAACTGGCGTTTTATATCTGCTATATCTTTTCTAGGATCATCACCAAGGGATCTCAAATAATATCTTTCATCCTAAAAATAAAAATATTTCATAGCAAACTTATGTTGAAACAGGGGAGTTGGTATATATTGAATAAATCAAATTGTTCAGTAATTTCTTCTAAAATCCAAGATAATAAGATAATATGAAAAATAAAAAATGCAAACAAGACTTAAAACCAACTTGCCATTAACAGATAAAGGTGAGGGAAGTCAGTTACTCTCTAGTTTACTTTTTAAAGAACAAAAATAAGATACATATACAGTAAAACCTGTCTTAGTGAACACCTCTCTCTAGTGAACACCTGTCCCTAGTGGACACCCTTCCTACGCACATAGTCCACTGACTTCTGTATAAATTACCCTCTCTCTAGTGAACACCTACCTACAGTGAACGTTTTTTCTTGGCAAAAAAATGTTCACTATACACAAGTTTTACTGTAGTTAATATAAGGGTAATTATGTATAATTGACATTCTTATAACTTACATCTTGAAAAAAGAAGTCTGTATGTTTCTCCTCTGTGGATCTCTTAATAAACTCATCGAAGGCTAATGTTTTATATGAAAAGTTCTTATTAATGAAGTCCATCTGCTTGAAAGGGGAGACATGAACAGTGACTTTTCTTTGTTGACCAACTGATGCAAGATATTCTGGTGTCCATTTTGTCAGACATTCTCCAATTGGAATGCCTTTTAGTACAGCTGGGTATCTCTAAAACAAAGTATATAGGTTCATGAGTAAAGAGTGGTGATGTCATATGTTAAATAAGTTCAGTAAAAGGAATTAATGTTTAATTCTTTTTGTCCACTGTGACGGAGCAGTTGCAAATGTCAACTGTGAAACTGCTCCGTCACAGCGGACAAAAAAATTAAACATTCTTTTTTTATAAAAGAATTTAAATGACCCCATACGAGGGGTGATCAATAAGTAATGGACGCTTTTTTACTAGTGTTGTCGCGATTAATCGATACATCGCGATATATATCGCCAAAGCTGATTCTGGTGATGCATCGATGTCTGAAACAAAACATCGATGTTTTTAAAAAAAATTAATTTGCTAAAAATCACCCTTTCTTATCTTATTTTGACGCAAATCGCTTACCTTTCTCATGTCTTATTTCATTTTCCAATGTTTTCTGATATTCTTTCGCTTTAAAACTGTTTTAGCTATTCGAAATGAACCATTAATCTAAAAAAATTACTTTACTTTCATTTCACCTTTCTAGAAGTTCCCGGATGTACCGGATGTTCGGTATTTTAGTGCATTAGCGTTCGGTATTTCAGTGCACTTTTCTCGGACTTTTTCTCGATGTACATCGCGATGTGCATCGATGTTTACTACTGAAAATTGCCGATGCATCGATGTACGATTATGGGACATCGCGACAACACTATTTTTACACAGATGCTTTTTATAGACCAATCCCTTCGATTTTCTTACCAGTGATACATCATTCAATTATCTATCAACTCTGAAGATTTGAAAACAAAATATATAATACATGTTGATATATCCTAATTTCCGTGGAGGAGGTACGGGTACCCCGGGACCGACATTTACTTCACATATTCTGAAGCTATTTTAGCTTGTTTAACATGCAATGCAGTTGAATGCAGGCTGAACAAAACAAACCATTATGGTCATGAAATACTCCATTTTGTTATGCCATAGTTGATTTTGAATATTTTATCATCACTATGAGGTATTCATGCCACATTCATTCCACAGGGCCCTCTAAATAGGTTCCATCAAGTGCTACATGTACACAATTCCTCATCCTCTTAACTCAAGATTGTGAGACATGGCTGAATCCATTCTCTGACATTGTAGCAAGATACAGTTGCATGGGTTGTTTTACCTGCGTCCGTTCTCTATAGAAATAAGTAATATAGAAATAAACAAGTCACATGTGAGCAGATGTGGACAATATAGTGCATTGGTCAAGGGCTCAATTTTGAGGTCCAGGGATATTGTTTTCTGAACATTTTGAGATCTGTGGGCAGGTGCATTGTCCATATGGAGTAGGGTGTTCCCTTCTCTCACCACCCCTTTCTTCCACAATGCTTTCTCAAATTGACCTGCAAACCCGTTCCATACAACACTCTGACATTTACAATACTTTCTGTTTATGTGTTACCGGTCAGCAAAAAATTTCAAACAATACAGCACTTCTTGCATATAAAAAGTTCAAATCTAACTCAAACTTACCAAACTGGCTAAAGACTGAATATGTGACGTAAATGTCGGTCCCGGGGTTCCTGTACCTCCTTCCCGGAAATAAGGATATATCAACATGTATTATATATTTTGTCTTCAAATCTTCAGAATTGATAGATAATTGAATAATGTATCACTGGTATGAAAATTAAAGGGATTGGTCAATAAAAAGTATCTGTGTAAAAAAGCGTCCATTACTTATTGATCACCCCTCGTACATCCAGATCTCATAATACATTCAGAGTTATGCTGAAAAAATATGTAAATATTATCGTGTCACTATATCATGCCATTAAACAGTTAAAAAAGAAATAGTGCATTTTAGAGGATGATACTATGGTGCCGTTTTCAATAGCTTTTACTCCTAGCTTTATTGAATTTCAAACAGAAGTGAAGGTTAGCCGCAAATGATATATCCATTGCATGGACTAAGTAATTTTCTTTGATATAACGAAACATATGCGTTAAAAAATAAGTTGGGAAGTATTCTTAGTGTTTTTATGAAAAATAACATGCTCCGTCACAGCTGAGACCAGTTAGTCTCAGGTCATAGGCAGCTGACAAATCTTTCGATACTGTAGCGACCCTGGGTTGGCTACCCTTGCAAATGCCAACCTTATTCCCAGTCTCGCTACTTCCCTTCTGCTTGGAGCGCGAATAATACCGCTGCAGGGTCAGGGTGATACATGTTATTTAGTTACTTGAGGTATAGCTTTTGTATTTAGAGCAACTATTTTGTAAGGGTAATTTTTTGTGGGGTAATTTTATGTAAGGGTGATCTCTCGCGAGAGACGGCGAGAAGAGAGTTGGCGCCATATTTTTCCCCATGAGGAAGTTTTGATTTAAATTGCGATGTTTTAGATTCGTTTTTCGACACTTGATCGGGCCTGATCAATCGTCATGGCAGCCAGGGAGATGGAGAGAGTGGCCGCAAGATTGAGGTTGTATTTTTATATTTGAACTCCACTGCAGTGCTGAGCATACTTGTAGAAATATTGTGAATCATTTTCAGTTTATTTTGTCTTTGACTTTTGAGAGTCATCTGAGTTTGACATTGGATTTGATTGGGTTATTTGTAACAGTTGATCTACTGTGATTGATTTTCTTTGAGAGAATTATGTAATTTTTGGCTGGAAGATCTGGCCTAGTTTTGATATGCTCAGCGCGCAGGTGAGATTTTTCACAGCGCCACCTTTTGACTATCGCTTTACTTAAAGCTCGATGTTGTTTTAATTGTAAGCGCTCATATAGCCGCCATCTTACTTAAGTCATTTGTAATCTTTCTGCCATGTAATTTCCTATGATTTCATTTGATAGATAAAACTGATGTAAAACCAAATCTCATTATTTATTTACAATTAAACTTTAAAACTTTACTTGATTTGTTGTGTTGATTGTTTGTAGTCATTGATTGATGGTTTAGATGGAATAACAGTAAAATGGCCCTATAATTAACTTCTGATATCTTCCTAACTTCATTCATATTTGTTCAATTAGTGTTTCCAACTTTTGTGTCTATTCATAGATGGCAGCACTTTACAGATAGTCAAGCAATCAATCTCTTTCAGCTCAAATCCGATTCACTACGTGCTTTGACCGTTCAGCTTACCACGCTACCATTTGTTTGCTCGTTCGGTCCAGTTTGTTTGTTTGTTTGTACGGGTTGCTTTGTTGTTGTAATGGTTAATTGATTGATTGGGCAGCCCGTACGTGGCAGTTTCGGGATTAAGACCGGAGCTGTTACATTGGTTAGTCGCGGCGGGATTTTTGAGTTGTTTGTTTGATTGATTGATTGTTGTTTAAGTATTTGTGAAATTCTGCAGCAAGTTTCTCGTGCGCGGTTGAGATTTGATGACCTACTCTAGTCCAGTCCTGGTAGTAATTGACTGTGATAGACTGATACTACTGATAGTGAGCTTTACTGATTGTGCTAGAGGAGCTGGCGACTTGTCATCGAGCGCCACGTCTGACGTTTGCTCCCTTTCAAGACATGGCATATTTCTCTGAAATTATGCAGAAACACCAGATTATGAATTCACTCACTGATATGACAACTGATACTGCGTTTTGTTTTCCAGGTTGACATGAAGGCCCTACTGTGGTTGAACCGGCTCGTATTACTACACAGGCCCCGAGTTCCTGCGTTGCAGTAAGCCAGACTGCGGCAGCTTATCATGTTGTGACATCTACTTGGCAGGTCCTGGCCGGGCCTCAGGATGGTTGTGATCTCGATGCGCCTGTCAGCAGTTGTGATTATGGCGGCAAACAGATTAGGCCTACTTGGAGTCTGCGATGATTCACACCTGAGTGCGCCTGCCAGGAATGGCGCAAAGCAGCATGTAGACACGACTTATGACTCCCTCGATTGTGACAATATATTATTCCAGCCAGTGACTTTTACCGATCGTGTCCTATTACCGATTATATGAATTATGAATACTGATTAGAAGAGACTACCGAGGAATAGACTTATACTACTACCAAAATATTACATGGATCATGCTAATGATGAACCTTGTGCTGATTATCCCGATAAAATGGACTGTGTTCCATTGGATGTCAACATGTTTATTCCGAAAAATGGATCATTTCCATTGAATTACTGTGGTCATTATTATCGTGATACCAGATTGATATTATTGAATACTACACTTCTGACATTTATCAACACATAGAATTATTGATTGAGCTGATAATGAACCTTGTGGATTATGCCGAAAAAATGGACTGTGTTCCATTGGATTAATCGTCAACGTGATATATTTCGAAAAATGGATTTTCGTTTCCATTGAATTATCATTGTGGTCATTAGTGGTAGCTGATCTATATGTTCCTGACAAAATTAATGAGCCAGATTGGGCCATTGGCTTATGATTAATATACATTATAAAGGACAGTGAATGTTACTTGCACTGCCTCTATTTATTTACCTGTGCATCATAGCTGCATATAGCCATATAGCTGTAAAGGTATGGTTTATGAGCTCTGATTGGGCATCCATGGCTGAATATCTACTACATTTATATCTGTGCTTCAACATCAAGACAGTATTGTGTTTGACTGATTCATCAGCTGTTCCGGGATGGAGTGCACGCCTCCCAGAATTTGAACTGTAGAATGGGACTTCACCACTGTCAGCATGTGATATGTTAATGTTATGAACACTGAGTTTGAGAATTGTATATTTTATGCTGAGAAAGAGACATTGTAAATGTTGAATTTTCAAGGTTATTTTTGAATGAAACTTTGTACAATGGTTTGTTATTGGTCTGGGCGGTCCTCATATTCAGCATTTGGTGGTATTTGATTTTGGAGAATATGCCGTCCAGGCCAAGCAGATGACCATTTTTGAGGGTGAATAATTTTGTACATTTTGAGGTTAAAGGCTTTTCTCAGAGGGGAGGTATGTAGCGACCCTGGGTTGGCTACCCTTGCAAATGCCAACCTTATTCCCAGTCTCGCTACTTCCCTTCTGCTTGGAGCGCGAATAATACCGCTGCAGGGTCAGGGTGATACATGTTATTTAGTTACTTGAGGTATAGCTTTTGTATTTAGAGCAACTATTTTGTAAGGGTAATTTTTTGTGGGGTAATTTTATGTAAGGGTGATCTCTCGCGAGAGACGGCGAGAAGAGAGTTGGCGCCATATTTTTCCCCATGAGGAAGTTTTGATTTAAATTGCGATGTTTTAGATTCGTTTTTCGACACTTGATCGGGCCTGATCAATCGTCATGGCAGCCAGGGAGATGGAGAGAGTGGCCGCAAGATTGAGGTTGTATTTTTATATTTGAACTCCACTGCAGTGCTGAGCATACTTGTAGAAATATTGTGAATCATTTTCAGTTTATTTTGTCTTTGACTTTTGAGAGTCATCTGAGTTTGACATTGGATTTGATTGGGTTATTTGTAACAGTTGATCTACTGTGATTGATTTTCTTTGAGAGAATTATGTAATTTTTGGCTGGAAGATCTGGCCTAGTTTTGATATGCTCAGCGCGCAGGTGAGATTTTTCACAGCGCCACCTTTTGACTATCGCTTTACTTAAAGCTCGATGTTGTTTTAATTGTAAGCGCTCATATAGCCGCCATCTTACTTAAGTCATTTGTAATCTTTCTGCCATGTAATTTCCTATGATTTCATTTGATAGATAAAACTGATGTAAAACCAAATCTCATTATTTATTTACAATTAAACTTTAAAACTTTACTTGATTTGTTGTGTTGATTGTTTGTAGTCATTGATTGATGGTTTAGATGGAATAACAGTAAAATGGCCCTATAATTAACTTCTGATATCTTCCTAACTTCATTCATATTTGTTCAATTAGTGTTTCCAACTTTTGTGTCTATTCATAGATGGCAGCACTTTACAGATAGTCAAGCAATCAATCTCTTTCAGCTCAAATCCGATTCACTACGTGCTTTGACCGTTCAGCTTACCACGCTACCATTTGTTTGCTCGTTCGGTCCAGTTTGTTTGTTTGTTTGTACGGGTTGCTTTGTTGTTGTAATGGTTAATTGATTGATTGGGCAGCCCGTACGTGGCAGTTTCGGGATTAAGACCGGAGCTGTTACAATACCACCCTGTGTTACAAACATGTATGGCTCAGGGGTAGAGCTCGAGAGCAGAAAGTCCCGAGTTTGATTCCTGTACTGGGCATTTCATTTAGCACACCCTCTTTTGAATCTAGTATCTGGCTAGGTATACAATGTACTACAGCTCCGCGACGGACGTGCCAAAGGGTCATTACATTGGTGTCAGAAATGGGATTGACTTACTCCCTGTGGACTTGTGTGACAACTAGAGGGAATGGGAACACCGTGAGAAACTTTTGTTGAAAAAGAACCAGGTTGGGATATTCCAGTATGGTCACATGAGTATATCATGCATATTCATTCCAATTCAGGGCAAAATGTTTTTGAAATCGCTCTATTATCGCCCAAAATAAATATTTTAGTCACGTTTCCTTTCTAAAAACCTTGTCAAAACCAAAATAACTTGTGTTGATCCCTTTGAGTTATCAATTTATCATTTACCTTTACATAGATTTCCGCAAGAAAACTGTTTCTGTCTACGTTGCTATAGATTTGAACCATTTTTGAACTAATTCTGTTTTGCTCCATGTTTTGTTTTCTTATCGTAGTTTCGTTTTGCAGCTAAATTTGCAATTTAGTACTTTTTAGTCACGTGCCAAAACAAATATGGCGGAAATTTTGAGAGAAAAGTCGAAGACAAAATCTAAGGTAAGCAGGCGTTTCTTGTAATTCATGTCGTAATGAATACCTTAATCTATTATCTGTTTGTAATTTCTCGAGATTATGAAACGTTTGACAGCTGTGCAGGCTCCATATAAACAGAATAATGAACATAATCTCGAAGGTCAAAATTTCGTCACCAATAATTTTTTTCTGATGAAGGTAAGACATAACCTCCCTTTTGCTCCATTGAGATTCATATTAAATTGTCAAAGTTGTCTATGTCTATGTCAATAATCTGCAAAAGGCTCAAATCCCAGCCCATCAAATCCTTGCATTCAATGAGAACATATACAGTCTGTAAACTGCTTCAAATGCAAGCAGTTGAACCTGAAAAATAAGAAATTTTCACGAACATCAAGTAAGTTTCTGGTGAAAGCCGGAGCATAGATTATTTAAGAGGACTCGAAACAAGAATGACATACCTTGTTATTTCCCGAATCTCGCCTGAAATTAGCTCATCTTGGCGACTGTAACCTGTATATCTGTATTAATAGAGTCTCTTTGTATTGCATCTGCCTAGATTTTAAAGTTTTATTGGTATTTTTAATATGATTTCACTGTTTTTGTGGACTGGACGATTCAGCCAAGCAAATGGCAGCTGACCTGTTCAAAGTACTTTTAGTACTCATTATCGCAAATGACAATAATTTTGGAACCAATATTATACTTTAAATAGATTACTAAGCATAAGGTAAGTAAAACTAGATGAACAACTGAGTCAATAGTGATAAATAGGCCAACACGAGTTGGCAGATTTGAAATAGACTGCCATCTTGTTTCCAGTCCTTTTATAATCTATGCTCCAGCTTTCGCCAGAAACTTACTCGACGTCCGTGGAAATTTTAGACTATTTTGCAATAATATATAGAAAAATATATTCATATTGTTCATATTGCACACGAATGACATTTGTATATCTTGGATTGCTTGTGAATAACATGGCAGACCCGGGATGGCGGATAGACCTCAAATTACAAGAGGGCACAGGCTTATTGCACTAAAAACTAAATAGTCTGAAATATACAAATGTCATTCGTGTGCAATATGAATATATTTTTCTATATATTATGGCACAATAGTCCGCTATAGATTTCTTATTTTTAGGTTCAACTATTTGCCTTTGAAGCAGTTTAACAGACTGTAGTTGTGTTCAAAAACTTGATTTAGTCTACAAAGAGAGATGGGGAAGCCCCAGAGCTTTAGAAATGACAGATATAAATAGGTTACTAGAGTCTCTAGCTTACAGCTAGATGTAACTTCATTGATTTCGTATGTACTCGTATTTCATATGTAAAAATTGCTACACGCACCTAGAAATCATTTTTAATAAATTTTATAAATATTTTTAAGAATATTAATTATACAGGGTGGTCCAAAAAAAATTGGAACATTTGTTAATAGAACACAAAACCATTATTTTTCCTCTAAAATGCACCAAAATTTCACTGAGCATAGTTCAGTCACTTATCCCTCTGCTGTAAAGTTTATAGGTGCAAACCACAAATTTAATGCATTAAACTAGTCAATGTTTGATATGACCCCCTTTTCTTAAATATACACTTGACAATTTCACAGCTACTTTTTCAAGTATTCTTTATTTCAAAGCTTTAATGAACATGTTGATTGCTATACACATTTTATAAAATCATATTAAGATGAAATGAGATATTAACATCTATGGTTTACTGGAAAACTATTGTGTTATTGTCAACTTAAGAATACCCCAAATCATTATTTTTATTTAAGAGTAGGAAAGAAAGAACATGTCAGAGGTGAGTGATTGCATAACCCATACAGCTACTAAACTGACAAAATCATTGTTTCCACTTTTCAGTAGAGGGGAAACTGACTAGTTATTTACAAGGCTTTATTAAAGACCACCTCTAAGCACACATAATATAATATATAATTTGTGTTCTGGGAAACTCCTTTATGATATTGATATACATATATTGATATATTCAATGAATATTATTTTTATTAGAACAAGAAAGGGGAGGGGGTTCATTTACCAGTCAAAACAGACTGCCCTGGCCTCTTTCTGGAGAATATTCAATCAGTAATATATCCAACAACAGCCATCAAAATGTGATTGATACCCATCGATTGAGGTAAAAAAAATGTTGAATATGTTCATATATTTGATCTTCTAAGGCAAACATATAAGTAGTTTGTTCAAGCTGAATTTTTAATCAAGATGGCTTGGACAAAATCAAACGAACAGCAAAGTGAATGAATCATTTCAAAACTGAGTCCCAGGCTTCAACTTGTAATTCAGGAGAAAGGGGGTCATATCAAACATTCTCTAGTTTAATGCATTAACTCTGTTGTTTGCACCTATAAACTTTACATAAGATAAATAAGTGATTGAACAATACTCAGTGAAATTTTGGTGCATTTTAGAGAAAAAATAACGATTTTGAGTTCAATTATCAATTTTTTTTGGACCACCCTGTATTTAGGATGAAGCGTTGCTTGTCTGGATTTAGATATTTCAAAATTTCTTTCCGGAGTTTGATACATGGTGAAATTTTCTCGCTGTGGCTAAAAATGGCTTCCGGTTCCGAACGTGAATAATGGAGGAAACTTTGAAATTATCCTCGCTTAAAGAAATCAAATATAACAATAGAATCAGACGGAGATGTGTGCTGATGTTTCTCAAATCTATACATAGAGGTATATTTCATATTATTATGCCGTATTTACTGTGCGTGTGACACAATGATTTACAATATTCACAATACCAAGGCAGCTCAATCTTTCTACTCAAAGCCGGAATATAGAGAAGGCTTTGGACCGAAGTAATAAATAGGTCTCTTGCTTACCACCTCATTTGTCAGAATTTTAATCAATGCATGGGCTTTCCCAGTCAATGCTAGCATATTACTTACATCTTTCCTAAAAGGATGTCACGGTTTGCCGATATTGTCCCCTCGGGACTTTGGTCTCCGGACGGGACAACCCCTGTGTACCGAATATTTAAGTCCATGTTCAAGATATATTATTTCTCCTATATATGACCCTAAAACTTCCCAATTTGCACGATAAATATGATTTAGACTTGAATTTTCTTTCGTATTTATAACTTCTCTGCCGAATTACGTCCATGCGTAAATGCCATCTAGTGGCAATAATTATAGGGGGGGGGGCATTATAAGGACAGAACATGTAGTTTAATCGATTACAGTATTTCCCTTTGAAATATGCTTTAATTTAAACAATAACAAAGAACTTTATCGGCGAGAAAAGTAACAACTTAAAATTAATCTCAGATAACAAGTTTTGCGCAACATGCGCAGTTCTCTTGTGGCATTCAAAAGGTCCGCGTTGCATGAGCAAAACCGGAAGTAGACGGAAAAGGTAAGTTTTTTACTGTTATTAACTATTTTGTTGGTTATGTTCTGTCCCGTCCCGAAATTGATAATTCCCGTCCCGTGACATCCCTAACCTTTCCTTATCTTGATGTAAAATAACAAGCTATGATATAAATTAACATGCCAGAAATTAACATAATATTAATCGAATCATGTTTGGAAAATTTTGAAACTGCCATTCTAAGAACTTTTGGGTTATTCCTCCTCTTGAACCTCATGATGATCATATTGCGACATGTGTTGCAAGCATTGTTTTTTTGGTTTGTAAAAGGCATGTGATATATGATGATGCCTCCAAAGATATAATTCCATCTTTTGGTCAAAATTGTACTCTACATGTAAGTAGTCACTGACACTCTTACTAGATCTGGCTACCCTTTCCAATAAATCCCGACCCCCATTTGTGAACCAAAGAAACTAGGGTATGTTGGCTAGATTTATGATGTATTACAGGCAGAAATGTTTGTAAACAAAATTGAAAGGAGTTCTTGAAAATTAGCAATATTTTAATCCTATTTCTGCTCTAAAATTGTAAGAATGACATCATAACCAATAGATGGCATGATTTACTGGATTGGTCTATTGTCTATATGGCAACATGTATGTGCCATACTGCTATACCTCTACAAACTACATTTAAATGCAAAAGGTTGGAATATTTTGGATTGCTTTTGATTTGGCTAACAAATATATGGCCTCTTGTTTTTTTATTGTTTCTCTGATATTTTTGAAAAATATCATGGCTGAAACTCCCAAATCACAAAAGGCCATATGTGTATTGCATCTTAAGTTAATTTACATGTTTATCTGAAATATACAAAAGTTTTATGTCTAAATTCAAGGAATTTTCAATTTAGCGCATAATGAAATATCAGGGCTCTTGCTAGGCTTTTAGACTGTGGGGCAGCACCACAACTTATTGGCAAATATTGATTGTTCCCACAGTCTAAACTTGACTGAATACACAATATTAGCATGTACAAAGGATAAAATACAACATAATTAAATATGATTTATCACATTTGAATGGTTATGCTAAATATTTCCTGGTGCGAGCCCTGAATATGTACCCCACCACTTTAACATGCTAGAAGTGCTGTCTTAATTATTGCTCTAAAACCTTTATCTGCTATTTAATGCTTTCCATACAATCTTTAATACAATCTTTCCAATGATCTTTAGAGAGTTAACATGTAAGTTGAAAGTATGAAGAGGTGTACCTTAAAGAAAGGCACTTCAGCCTTGTCTTGCTTATACATGTGTGTACTTACTGTTACATATACATGTACATTATAACATTATTTGATAATCTTTTTTAGAAGTCAAAAGATAGAGTGGTAGATACAGATGAACTAGATGGAGATGTACCTTCTGTCCCTTCCTTTTCTGAACTGGATGGGGGTGTGCCTTCCGCACCATCACTCTCTGAATTTATAACTTCTCCCAAAACTGGAGAAATTTCATCAAGTGACGCTCCCAAACCAGATGAAGAGACGAATGCTAAAAAAGAAGTTTTGCCTCTTAGAAGTGATTCTAAAGCTAAGACACATATCGTTGATGCTACTTCACATAAAAAGGATAATGAAACGCCACCTGAGAATGTAGACAATGTTCCAGCTGAGGATATTGAAGACAAGAGAACTGCTGCTGAGAAGGTTGTTAAACTATTTCGTAAAGTTAATATAAACGAAGAAGGAACACTAGCCAAAGAAAATGATTCAAATAAAAAAAATATAACCAGAGAGCCGATAAGTCAGCCTACTGAACCTGTAGATCAGCTCACAGAGCCAGTAAATCAGCCTACAGAGGATATGGATCAGCTGTCAAATCCAATAAGCCAAGATGTAAATACTTTACCAGTTTTTCCTGAAAAGGAAAATGTGTATTTGGCAGAAGAGACACCAAGTGAGGTGACTGAATTACCAAGTGAGGTGACTGAATTACCAAGTGAGGTGACTGAATTAACAAGTGAGGTAACTGAATTACCAAGTGAGGTAACTGAATTACCAAGTGAGGTACACACAGATGAGGCTCCACAAGAGGTGAATGAACTCCCAACCTCACTAAGCTTAGGGGAGATATCAGTGCAACATAAAGTCGATACATCTAGTCCAAGAAGTGCAGTAAAATCAGAAAGTGATTCCAAGTTGTCAGATATTGATGAATTTATTGATGCAAAGGAGTCATTAAGCAGTGCATCTGATCTTATGACATATCCTAATGAGCCAACAATTCAGGAACCAAAACATGAATGTTCAAAAAATGTTGAAGAAATTTTACCTTTGGAAGGGCCTCAGGAGCAAAGAGAGACATCATTTGAATTTGTTGATGTAACCAATAGAGGAGTAATTGCTCAATCGCATTCAATTAGAGCACCTGAATCAGGAAAAACTGATACTTATACAAGTACCATGTCATATTCCCCATCTCTGGAAGGCATTCCCATTTCACGTGAGGAGATGTTCAATCCATATAATGTTGGGCAACGGATGGAGAGTGAAGTTGAGTATATTGAAGCCCCACAAATAGATGCTACTACTGGTAAGATGGTTCAACCTCAGCCAAAGGCAAATGAAGTGTCAGCCAATGAAGAGATCATAAAGGTATGTACAAGTACATGTACATTAATTTCATATTTACATTAATACATATAAACTAAACGTTTTTATTATTATATTCCCAATATGTAACACTAATCCTAATTGACGTCACAATTGCAACTTCTATTACCCTTGGAAGCAGTGATGATGCGCAGACGAAAAACAGAAAAATGGAGGATGAACACAAACACAAATCAACTCCGTTCACCATGACAGACGTGCGTGAACGATGCAATATAAGCAACGTGGATAAAATTCCCTAAGGTCAATACGTCTGTGTAATTTCAAGTGTTATGATAATCTATTTTGTGTGTTTAACGCAATTGAATTTGTCAAGTGAGAGTCTCAGAAATTTCTTAGGCAAAAATTTCTGTTGAGCATATGATGACGTCACAGCACAGCCTGCGGCTTCGGGAATCATACATTTTAGAGGATATTCCCTCGGGGAAATAATTTACACTATTGCCCTCAATGGCAGTCACTATTTGTATATTGTTCCTATAGTTTTTTGTGATTGACTAACTCTGAAAGGTTTCAATGCATGCCATATAAAATAATGTGTTTTATACTATCATGGTAAGTCCAGTAGCCTTTTGTTCAAATCAAGTGTTTCAATACAATTTCAGACAACAGGCAAATGAATCAAAACAACAAGAAACACTATTCGAAATTATGATTTTAACAAGAAAAGAGGAGAATACTATAAAATGCCTGTTGCTTTTAGGAAACATTTACATACATTTACTTGCCACGTGTACCAGAAATACAAATTATTTATTCTCGTTCTTATTATTAGGTTGACCACAGAAAGCTTGTGTATCGTGAGGAGCATAAGTCTGGGGAAGTGTACAAGCCTTTGACAGAAGAGCAGCTTAGGACATTGTATTACAACCCAATGCTTGAACAGAATGCAGCTTACATAGAAACATTCCTTCAGGTATGTCATACAAACTTGAATAGAAAACATCTTAATGCATATTGGTGTATGTATTTCTGCAACCACAAACCTGAAGAGGATTTTAAAAAGTTGAACTAAAAGACATCTAATCTTTGCACATTTTTACATGATCCGTACTCTAAAAAACAATGCTATTAAAGGTTTACAATGCCTTATATAAACATTATACATTAAAATAACTATGCAGGAGGTGAGAAAGGACAAAGGAGAGTTCTATGAGCTGGTGGCCAACTACTACAGGGCCAGAAACAACCTCTATAGTGCCGAACATGATATAGGTGTCCTGCAAAATGAGTTGGCAAAACTCATGGATATTGTCTGGACATGGACACAGCATAATGTCACTGCTCAGGTAACTCCCCCATCCTTTATTTAAGGAATAAATAATGATAGGCCATTCAATATGGTGAAATTCAGCACGAGTTGGACAGAATGTTGTACAAAGCACGAACCGAAGGTGAGTGCATTTGTACTAACATTCTGTCCAACGAGTGCTGAATTTCACCATATTGAATGGTCTATCATTATTTATTCCGATTCAAACATAAAAATTAGTAAAAGCCGTGTCTGTGGAACGGGCATGAAGGAAGAATACGCATGCTGTCAAGATTCTGAAGTCGGCCTGAAAAATTTTAGAATTTGTTTGGGCTGTTCTATTTTACTCCCCGTTTTAGATTTTATACGGTGTATGCAAACATGGGGTGTTGATAAAATAAAAATAAATAGGGAGTAAAAAAGAACAGCTATCCCCGGACAGAGCCCCAGATGTGCAGCTGAGATGTGACGTCACTCAAAACAATGCAAATTGCAGATTGAATAGAGCATGGTCGTGCATCTATGGAGAATTAGAGAACGTTCTATATTGGCTATGCTGCATTCTGATTGGTTGAGAAATTCGAATAGAGCACGGTCATGTTTGAATTACTAAATATGCATGCATCATTAACTCAAGCTTCTTATAAGATAGATGATCAGATTTGATTTCAAAAGTTCATTTTGTCTTTAAGATCCAAAGTGATTGTTTGTTATGACACGAGTCATTGTTATGTCAAAAAGATACGTTATTTTAAAAATTATAACAAGGTTGGAGGTCGATATGGGACTTTCGTATTGTAACGATCCTTTGGCACGCCCGTCGGGGAGCTGTAGTGTACAGAGCCAGATACTAGACTCGAAAAAATTCAATGCCCCGTACAGGAATCGAACCCAGGACCTTCCGCTCTCAATCAGACGCTCTACCCCTAGCCACTACAGCTGAGACTGTAGTAGCGACTTGCTATCGAAGGTCATTACAGTATTATGTTGTTTAATGTCATAATAATTCTGTGTAGGGCTTTTGTGGAGATGACACCAAGGTATCTGCAGTTCACACATATGAGAAAGCCAATTTTGATGAAGAGGCAACCAAGGAAATAGCTAGAGTTCTTTCCACAATTAGAACAAATGTCCACTACACTGAGATGTCCCTTCATGGTTATATGGCAGCTATGGCAAGGTAGATACATTTTTATCATACCTATAAAAGGATACAATATTGTTGTCAGGTTGATGGTTGTATTAACATGTATGTACAAAGGCTATAAAAGAATCATAAATCATAATTATAAATGAGAATAAAACTACTTTATAAAATTCTTTGCATACATCGAACCTCTTTGTTTGTAATGTGGTATCAAAATGAGGAGCTCAAGATGTCACAAGCAGTTCTTAAAATGATTATTTTTGATTCAGATTACAAGTAGAATTCTACATACATGAAATGTACATGCACGCTCCAGTCTTTAGGGACCTACCTAGAAACTCCCCTGTTCAAGGTGAGTGTAGCAAAATTGCAAATAAGGTAATTGATGATTTTATTGATTATAAATGTTTTCCTGTTTACAATGATCTCTGAATCATAGGTTTTATCTGTGAAGACTCATGGAATTCAATAATTAAAACTTTATGTGGGGCCTTTAAGGTCCATCTGTTCGACATATTTGCATGTACATAGATCAACCATTTATTTAGAAAAAAACTATAACTTGTCATTGAAGGTATGACAGCTGAACAGAGAGACCCCAAGTTCTTTGCCTCTGTTCAGATGTGTCGTCATGCCATCACAGTACTGTTTGAATTCCAACGTAAGCCTGCCAAAGATCAACAGTTCTTGCAAGATACCAGGATGTGGCTTCAACGATTGGTCAGTTCTTGAAATAATAGATAGTACTATTTAAGGGAAAAAAATCCAGAGTTTCCATGCAAATCCCTTGTTCTATTAATTTCAAATTGGTAATGTACATGATTTATTAAGATAGAGTTAATGGTAAAAAACAATTATGTATTTTTGTTATATTTGTCCAGTAATTTCATGCTGTTTTGAAATAATCTGTTATTGTCCAGGTTGCCTCCCTGTTACGTGTAGCTACATTAGAGGACCATGTCTTTCTGTTGAATCACATCTTAAGGTGCCCTTCAGGCATGGGCAAATGGTGTGCACAATTCCTTCAAGTATTGTCTCCTCCAGTTGCCCATGACCAGTCCTGCTTGGGACACCACCTATTGGATCATTTTGTAAACTTGCTGGCTACAATCATGATGCCTATTAGGTAAGACTTGATTATTTGATGACATCCTTCTATTCATGATGGGCCTTTGCTGAGCTCAGGAATAAAATGAAATATCTTTAGACCAAGGATGATTTGATGGCTCATTTCATTAAATATTCAGTGTTGTAGATGAGGGATAATTGTTTTTTCTCTTTCGCATAGATGTCTCTCTCAACAACAGCGTTTTAAGCCTGAAATATTGTGATGTTCGTTTTAATTTAAATTTTTCAGTGCCCGTGAAGATTTCTTGTATCAGATGAAACATGTGCTGACACCTAGTGTTGATAAAACAGCAGCTGCTAATCCGTGGATATTTGTGGACTCAGATGGTGAAGAGGTTTGTTTTTGAAAATGAATTATACTTTAAGTTTACTACATGTACTTGTATATTTGCATAAAAAGATAAAATCATTTTTAAATTGAATAGTTTTAAATTGCTAGGTTCAGAGTATGAGAGATAAAACTTAGATTGTGAGTTATTTCAATTTAAATGCACACTTGTCAATACATATTTTATATTAACACAAAACAAACCAGTGATTTTTCTCCATCTTCCCATATCTTGTCTTTGAACATTGTAACAAGAGACTGGTGTCATATGTCCCAGTAATTCAACCCCTTGAGGAGGCTTATTTGATGCTCTATATTAACAGGATGAGGAAGTAGAGAAGTGTTGGTTCTACCTGAATGAGAATGACATTGTTGCCCTTTTAAACCAGTTCCCCATCCAGGACATGTTTAGGCATCTACTGCTCATATACACAGATGAAGGTACAGTAATATGTTGAATATGTCAAACTTATATACCCATCTAGTCAAGATAAAAAATTAGTTTTAATTTGAAGAAAGAAATAGACAGCAAGAGTTACTAGCTAGTTATGTTTCGACTTCCCTGCTTCATAAAAAAGAACATTATCACCATTTACTAGATTTGAAAATTCACTTCCAGTCTGTCTTAATAAAGATGAGCTGAAAGTTGTCATGAACACCTTGCAATCCTCATTCTAAATATCGCTTTTCAAGGTTCAATAGGCGACTTTGAATGGACCTTCATGCATAGTTCGAAAATAGAATCACCAGAGAAGGTTTTAAACCATGAAATCGACTCTTAAGCCTGAAAAAACTTTTTTAACCATTTTTTCGGCTGTATGTTTCAATGTGCCTTTGAAGTTAAGTTTGACTTTGTTAGATTGGATTGATCCTCTTGATTCTTTTTCCTGTGAAATATATTATTAAAAAAATATATATATTAGATATACATGTTTTTGACTATAGAGCAAGATGTATACAATCCACTGCAAACCTCTGAGACTGGAATGCTGAAGCTACTTGCATTTGCCACTTGTTTGATCAAACTTTATGGAGAGGGACTGAATACATTTAATATGTCACGTTACAGACAACTCAACAAGCGCATAGGGAAGATGATAAGGTATTTCTCTTTACAGAATGATTTCAGAAAAAGTCAGGACACAAAGTAAGATTGCTTTCATTGTAGCTCAATAGAAATACTCAACCAAAATATACCTTTAGTGATTCATAGAACATTGAAGAAATGCTTATTATAAAAGTCCTAAGTGTTTGAGATATTTTCAAAACATAACTGGAGCCAGGTTAGGTCGAACCTCAAAGTTATGTTCTGAATAGACAATCCCTTAGTATCTCATCAATCCATAATGGTATAACATTAGACTTAATAGGGTGATTTATTTAAGGCATATTAGATTCCATTGGGAGTATGGCATTTCTCGACCTGATTCTTCAATCATAGACTAGCTAAAATGATGAGAATCTTCAAGTGATTGCAATAGCCTAAAAAATTAGAATGTGTTAAGCATTTTATTCTTGTTTACTGTGGTTGTGTTAATTTTAGGCAGGCAGTATGTTTTGTGTGTGACCACTGGCAGAACTTCAAGTATGTTCACAATACAATGCCTCAGTCAACTGTGAAGACAATCCAGGCAGAGGTTGACCAGTTCTTCCTGAAGGCAACTTACCAAATTCTATCAGCTAACAGGTATGAATGGGGATCATAACATATTGAACTATTGAAATTGGTTCAACATTTTTCAAATTTTATTTTATGAGGGGGCAAAATTAACCCCATTTTCATTTGGATAATGTTGATATTTCGACACCATTTGGACCTACTCATTGAACCTGTCCAAGAAAGTTGCTACAACAGTGGCATTTTTACCCTTTCTGATTGAGTGGCATTTTTCTTTTTGGGAAATGTTAAGAGAGTTGTAGAAATGTTACATAGTGTGTGACATTATGTATGACATATGACATTATGAGTTCATAATTATTGAATACATTGTTTTTTCGTGGTCTTGGTTTTAATGCTTTGGCACCAGTATTTGCCCACTGGAGATGTATTCATATGAGGATGTATTCTTTCTTTATTGAATACATTGTTTTTTCTTGGTCTTGGTTTTAATGCTTGGGCACCAGTATTTGCCCACTGGAGATGTATTCATATGAGGATGTATTCTTTCTTTATTACACTCTTACTCTTTTGCAATGGTATATCAAGTTAAGAGTTCTTCCTCAAGCATCAGCTTATTTTTCCACCATACATCTTGTTTAGAATATATCTTTGGATGAATATGTCCTCTTGCATTTTTAACCAGTCTTATACGTAATGTCAAACTCTACTCTTTCAGGCTAGGGTCATGGCAGTTTATGGCTGATATGCCATACATTGGGGTTTCAATCTCCATGATGTGGAAGTTGCTATGGTTACTACACAGAGGTTATGATGTCATAGAAGCAATGAATCAACATGTTTCCATAGAAGAATGCAAATTCATTATGCAAGGTGAGAGCTGTTGCAACAATGATTGTCATATGTTACCTGTTAGGATTTTTGTTTGCTTTTAAGAAAAACATATTCTTGTGGATGTGATGTCATGACTCCAAAATATTGGAGAACAGTGGAGATTAGTCACTTGCAAGATTTATTTATCACCCAAATATTTGTACCTAAATGGTTCTGTTTTTGAAGTTTTCCAGTTTAATGCTTATTGGGGTTAAAAATGGGATATTGGAGATCCTAATTCAGATACTGTTGTAAAACAACACAATTTGAATTTATTAAAAACAGCTATGCGTTACAAATATAGGGACCATATGGTACATTCTATCTGATGCTACTTCGCACAAAATACAACAAGGTAAAAAATGAGACAATTATCTGATGAAAATATTTGACATATCTTGCATGTGTATATATTTGTATGATGCTTGTACAGTAAAACTAATCGATACGCCATTTGGACTGGCTAAAAGAGTTCGGACTAGGTGTTCGATATTGAGGTTTTTACATCCTCAAGATTCTGGATTTCGAAGAAATAGAAGTGGTCTCTTCTTTATTTCCTGAAAATATGAACATAATTGAACCAGTATTTTTTAAGATATAGCGATTTCTTTGGGTTGCATATTTTTGTAACACCCTGTATGAGATGGTATAGAAAAATCAGCTTTGTACAAGATATCATGATTCATGACTGGTTCAGAAGATACACATGTTTTAAATTTAAACGTCATATTCTCAAAACCACAAAAATGTTACTTAGGAAACACTGGTTCTCACTCGACGAAATGTGAAGATTTATTTTATAGAAATATTTGAGAAAGATTCTTACCATTCTTAACCCCCCTATCACACCAAAGTAGTTCTTACCCGTTCTTGCCAGTCCTACGAAAACGTCGTAAAACAGGCTCAATCTGGCTGTGGTCGGGAAATATGTCTGAAATAATTAGCTTATTCGTCCTTAAACAGTCTTCAATACGTCCATCTCGTTCGCAGTTCATTCAGGTCGCACCACGTCGGTGTGCAACGTCGTAGAACGCGTCCCTTAGTCTAGAAGGTCAACATGACCTGATTACAGAACGGCATGGTCGCCATCGAACTTTGAATCGATTCAAAATTCTAAAATCACATTCCCGTCTGAGAACGTTCATAAAGTTCGTAAATAGACCTTAGAAAGTTGCAGCTACGTTCATTCCATTCGCACACAGTTTCAAACCAGTTTTGAAGAACGCAGTGGCAACTTGTTTGGTGTGATGGCTATATTTTTGCTAACTCATTCTTAAGCAGTGTTAAATACGTTCTTAATCATTTTAAACCCGTTTGCAATTAGTTCTACCTCGTTCTCAACACGTCCTCAGACAGTTCAACTCGTTGTTTAAACGTCCCTAGTAAGATTGAAGTACGACGGTTCCGTTCGTAGTACGTCCAGCTCGTCGTTAGTACGTTGTCACTCGTTCTAATTGTAGAACGTGACGACCCCGAGTACATTTTGAGCATTGTCTAAGTTCTAGAGGACCTACCCGTTCGAGTACGTTCGATGAAGTTTGTAAATAGATCCCAAACGGTTCTTAGTAGGTCCAGTCCGTTCGTACACAGTTGAAGCCCGTTTTCGAGAACGTAGTGAGAACTAGTTTGGTGTGATAGTAGGGTTAGATATCCACATCTTCCCCCCTGATATTCATGATAAGTAAAAAAGACCCTTAATGAAGTTCAAAGAAGTTATTCTTTTCGAAAGTGTGATAATAGATGGTGCCACTAGTAAGATTCAGATTTTTACCTAATATCAAGCCCAATCCACCTCAAATTATATTTCCTCATTCTGCTTTATGTTTTGCATAATGTCACGTGGGAAACTCCACGTGACATCATGAATAGAGTGATTGACAACCTGGAAAGACAGGTAACTTATATGGGGTCCAGGAAACTGGGCATGTAAGACATGGCTGCAATGCTGTATATGCAATGTTGATGTGAAAAAGCCAGTCGGTCCTGTAGCTCAGTGGTAGAGCACTTGCCCGGAAAGCGAGGGGTCGTGGCTACGATCCCCACTGGGGTGGACTGACTTTTTCACATCAGCACTTAGCACAGGATTTCATTCTGTGTTTTCATTAACTAATAATAGCAATGGCAAACACATGCTTACATTTTACCATATTACTTATACATTATCTTAGTTTATGTTTAATCAAACATTAGTTATCATCTTCAAATTGTCTGTTCCCTTCATGTCTTCGTATTACTCATTTTCATATTTCTATCCGCCTCAATTACATTCACTTTTCTGCTTTCATACTGATTTTGATGCCACTTAACCACTGCCAAAATAAGTTGTATGATCTCACAAACAGTCACAATGGAAATGCCAGCACATATACCATAAACTCCACCCACTTCCGCTGCAAAATCGACCAATTCATAGTCCTTAACCTGTTTGGTAACATACTCATTTAAAGAATCGTAGAACACATTCAGTCGGAGGAAGTTTTGATGAAATACATCATAGAATTCCTCATCTGATTTGTTTCTTGCATTTTCGATAGCTGGGTACATTGATAGGTGCTCGTAGTTTGCTATGTATTTCAGTTGAGTATGGTAGTATGAGTTAATAGCAGCTTTGAATGGCCATTTGGAGTATGAGAGCTGCTTGGTGTATTGGTTATGGGAGCATGGCATTGGGCAATCACATCTTAGTCCTTTAGGGTAGGAGCCAACGTGGTGCCTAATGTGATTTCTTTCACAATCCAACCTGTCAAGATCTTCTGTAATAACACTAATATTTGCCTTATCACTATTCAAATTTTTAAGGTTCAATTTGCCACAGTATTGAACATTCACCAGATCCTTGGGTACTAAAAAGAAAGCACTAACACAGTGACATTTTGCATACAAGTACCATTGGCGACACTGACCTCTGCAGCTTGTTACAGAGTACTCATACTCAAATCCTTCAATTCTTTTCCCATTCTTACATTCGCCCCAAGGTGGCTCCAATCTCTCTTTCCTGTAAAGATTAAGTCCTATATCAGTTGAAAATCCTGGAGCAATATTAATTCCATTGTTTATGATGTCTGGTTGGGTATGAGGCGGATGAATAATCACACGTATGCCAGAATTTCCACCAGATGGTGATTTTGGATTGTAGATTGTGTAGTTAGGATTAAGAGTGGAAACGTCAATATAAAATACGATATTAAGTCCATATAATGACCCAGTCCAGACCATTTTTGATGATACATTTGTCCCGACTCCATTAAATGTATAACAGTTGAAATATTCATTGTTAAACTCATAACGAAACATCTCTCGTTTGCATGGTTCACCTTTGAAATCACAACTTACAATTAAGTCCTCATAGCTATGTGAACGTTGAGCCATTTCTATTTGGCTGTTTTCAGACCTGAACATAAACGAAAGCAGCCTGTTGTAATGTTTAGAAAATCTATCTGCATGGCCAGATTTGTTTTGTTGCACATATTTCTCATTCAGATTCTCAAGAAAGGTAGTCAATGTAGCCATTGCTTTAGTGCTTGACATAAGATTTGCAGATTCGAATGATGTTTTATTTTCTAATGGTTTTGCATATTTACCAAGTTTAGAGCCTGCCAGAGGGTACAACGCACATATTGTAACTGAAGGAAACTTCAAATGTTTATTTTCAACTGATACCACTTCTCTTGTTTCGAATTGAAAATATTTAAACATAAGCGTGACAAATAATGCTAAACCAACAACATTGACAACTGCGCATATAGCAATCCATATCCATCTTTGAAGTCTTGTTGTTGAGAGCTTGACTTGCGAGTAACCATGTGATGTCGTATTTGAAGCAAAGTCCTTCAAAATTTGCTTCAGTGTTTGTTCATCTCTATTTGCTTCCATGGTGATATCAGCAATAGTTTGATTGTTGTGAACGCCGCTTTAGTATTTTGATATATTGCATTTCTCCCTTTTAATTTCCAGTTTTCAGTTTATTGTTACATGAATTTTTATTCCACTATATTAATAGTGCATGTAAGTCATACATTTCCAACAATAGCCAACAATAATGGATTTGATCAAAGAAAAATCTTCTTTACACTGCTTGACTTTTTCAACGCTGTCAGATCAAATGACTATATAACATGCCATCCATCCAAAATATAAATACTTGTACTTAAAGATGCACCTCGAGGCTTGAATCTGATGTATTTCAATTGTATGCTAAATTTTTTCTGATCATTTTTTATTAATTTGTTGTAATTTGACTTTGAGAAACTAGATTATGTTGACATTTCATGCCTAGGGATGATACAACTTGAAGCTGCAACTTTCCTATTATCATTTTAATAACAGAGCAGCTTCCAACAGCTATGTAATATAATATACAGTAAAGCCTTTCAACTTGCAATGCAGACTTATGTAAATGAGTTCCTCACATGTTAGACATGCGCCTTAGATCAAACCATGGGCTTTCCAAACTTGAGTACTTGTTCAAACAAACTTGAACAATGTGACAATATTCATGAAGATCGTCAACGTAAGGGAGGGACTAAATATGTGAATTGCATCTTCGTTAATATACCAATCATAGAACCGCCTGCATATTCTAAAACTAGACTATCTTCCTTAACTTTGAACCAAATTATTGTTCACAGCTTGACTCAAAAGTGGTGTAGATTCGAGAAATAAAAATTTCTTACCGAAAAAGAAGCCTGGAAGTTCTTCCATCTTGTTACGCTGGCGTATCGTCGGCTTAACTAGGTGAGTACCAGTGGTTCTCTAATGCATTCGTATTATATTGGTTTTACTGTACCATAAAATTATTGACATTTTATTTGACATTTCAGTTGGGGTCTAATAATTCTGAGACCATTAGCTTTCTTAAAATCAAATTGATCTGAAATAATTACAATCAAATGGCAAATACAATATTAATTGTAATTGTTTGGACAATATATATTTCCCATTGCCCAGTGCCTTACAGTATTATTATTCGTTCAATAATATATTCATTCATGTAATACTCAACATTGTTCAGTCATATATGAGTGTTTATTCAAATATAATTCATCATTGTACAATGCAGTATTTAATGTTTGATATCACTGGCAAGCTTGCTATTGTATGTTTGATCAAAACCGCATCATGTGTTATGAAAGATCGGGAGATATTCACTTGTTCATTTGTCTCAAATGAGACAGCTGGTGATGAAATTTCAAAATAATTTTATAACATTAAGTTTATATTAAGATTGTAGGTATAGCTATAAATTCAGGCTATATCAATGTTTTATTTATATTTGAACCTGTGATTAAAGAATATTGATCATAGTGAGCTTGATAGTTATATATTAAAACAAATGTTTCATTTTATTGAGGTGAATACCTGTGCATCTTTCACGCGTGATATTTCACAAAGCCCGAAGGGCAATTCTCAATCCTTGACAAATACTCATTCAAAATATTAGCTATCGTCCTAATGAATGTTCATTCAATCATTATGTCACATTATGCAGTATAATTTTCAAAATATGTCATTGTTCTCAAATGATCATTCTTCAAATGTTATTTATCACTATCAAAATGTCCACGTCATTTATTCTTTAATAGCAGTCGTAATTTTTGTATCTGCCTCAATTCCATTGATTTTCTTGGATTTCAACTGATTTCGATACCATTTATAGAGAGACAACAAAAGTTGTATGATTTCACAAACAGTGACAACAGAAATTCCAGCACATATTCCATAAACTCCACCAAGTTCTGCTGCTAAATCGACCAATTCATAGTCCCCTACCTGTGTGATGATATGTTCGTTTAAAGAATTGTAGAACACATTCAGACGGAGGAAGTCTCTCTCAAAAACATCATGGAGTGCCTCATATGACTTGTTTCTAGCCTCTTCAACGACTGAGTACAAAGATAAGTTCTCATAGTTTTCCATGTATATAAGTTGCGATAGATAAAAGGGTTCTATAGCATACCTGAATGGCCATTTAGCATATGAGAGGTCCTTGGTGTAATGATTATGGTGACAAGGTGCAGGGCATTCACATTCTAATCCTTTAGGGTAAGTGTCAATGTGATGTTCAGAATGATTTCTCTCACAGTCCAGCCTGTCAAGATCTTCTGTAATGATACTAATGTTTACCTTATCGCTAATCAGATTTTGAAGGTCAAATTTACCACAGAATCGAGCATGTTTTAAATTTGGGGGTACGAAGTAAGAAGCTGTAACGCAATGACACTTGGCGTACAGGTACCGTTGACGACACTGACCTCTACAGCTTGCTCTTGAGTACTTATACCCAAATCCTTCAAGCTTTTTTTCATCACTGCAGTTACCCCAAGGGGGTTTCAATTTCACTTCTGTGTTTTGGGTAAGTCCTACATCTGTGGAAAAGCCTGGCACAATATTGAATCCATCTTCTATAATATCTGGCCGGGTGTCAGGAGGATGGATTGTCACACGAATGCCAGAATTTCCACTTGTCGGCGATTTTGGATTGTATATTGTGAAATGAGGCCTTAGGGTGGAAATATCTATATAAAATATAATATTAAGTCCATATTTTGGACCTGTTTGCATCATTTCTGATGATACATTGGTTCCAATCCCATTAAATGTATAACAGTTGTAATATGAACTGTGAAACTCATAACGAAACATCTCTCGTTTGCATGGTTCACCTTTGAAATCACAACTTACAATCAAGTCCTCATAGCTATGTGAAAGTGCCGCCACATCATCTGGTGAGTTTTCAAACATAAACATAAAAGATAAAATTCTGTTGAAGTTTTTCCGAAACCTGTCTCCATGTCCAGTTTTGTTTCCCTTCATAAATTTCATAGGCATATCCCCTAGGAATCTACTTAACACATCTGCATCCGACTGTCGATTTAAATTCCATGTGCTATTCATCATCTCCTCTGCATATTTACTTTGTTTGGACCCTGCCAGGGGATACAATGCACATACAGTTACAGAAGGAAACTCCAAATTGTGATTTCTAACTGATAGCACATCCTTTGTTTGGTAGGTAAAATATTTAGAGATGAGTACAATGAGAAACAATACACCAACAAAGTTGACCACTGTGCATATTGCAATCCATATCCATCTTTGTATTCTTGTTGATGAAAGGTGAACTTGCAGGTAGCCATGTGCTGTTGTACTTGATGCAAAATCATCAAGGATGTTTTTCAAAGTTTGTTTGTCTTTCTTGACCTTCATGATGTTATATTAATAATAGTATCAATATCTATTTTTTATTCCAATTATCTTTTCATTTTTCTTTGGTCATCACAAGACAATTTTTATTAATTAATTAATTTAGACATATAACATAATTTTTCTGTCATCATAACATCATTTCTCAAGTTTCCATTCGATCAGTCCTTAGAGCATTGCACATAATGGAATGTGTTTTCAACAAAGCTGCTAACTAATCTTGTAAATCAAGCCTAATGTATTATTAACATTTTTATTATACCTTTACTTAGACACTGATCAATCAAAGTATAAACATTCCTTGCAGGAGTTTTTATTCAAACATTATCTGAAAACTTCACTCATCTGATGAATCTCTGGTTCATTAATATCTATGATTTAGAGTGTAATTGTGAGCCTTTCACATTTGATTTAATCAATATAGGGTGTTCCCTTTGAAGAAGACTGAAAAGCTTGCCATTAATGGCCAGGCATTGTTTGACTGGGATGGTACATTGAAGTTCCTTTTACCTCATTAATATCATGGCAGCTTCTAAAAGCTCTCTACTTACTGACTAGTTATATTCTTTTCAAAATGGATGAGGAATAAAATACCTGAATGGAAGCCATTAGCGTAATAGATCATTTAGATCTATATGTCAACATGTTTTTAGCTGTTTTATTTATACCCTGCACACAGAGTCTAGTTACAAACTACCCTCTGATTAGTGTAGACTATATTACAGTTTAGCAGTTCCACCCCGGTGCATATTTCGACAATGAGCTCTGATTCGCTCGGTGAGATCAGAGATTTATTGTAAACTGAAAGAGTGAAGACATCTCTCTTTTAAGAAGTGAAGTTGAACGAATGTAAAGGGTATTTTATATATGACCCTTCCTGGTACTTTCTTCCTTGCAAAGCATATTCGTTGTGTAATATAAATCTGAGTGTGAATTCTCCTTAGTTTGGATACTTCATTTGAAAACATGAATGATTAGATTACCTCTGACAGGGATATTTACAATGCAATACCTAATTCCATAGAAATGTATTAGATTAGTAAAACTTCATTTAGATTGTGCTTAAGGACCAATGCAAAAGATCAATGTTGGATAATTAACTATATTTTCGTAGTTGGGGGGGGGGGGGTGTTCATGACAACATTGTTATTAAATTGACCTGGTATTTTTGTCACTTTTTTGTGGACATTTTGTCCAGACTGTACACCCACGCCGCTTTCTGAAATGAAAATATATTTTAGATTTTATTAAAGGATCTGGATAATGTAAGAATCGTCCAGGAGAATTATTGGTATAAAGGTATAGAAAAATACCTAGAATATACCTAGTGTCCCTTATAAAAGGTATATATGATAGTCCAAAAGAAAATGAGAAATACATGTACCATATAGCTTGCCAAAAGTTGAAAACATATTGTCTTTGGATAAATCTCAAAAATGCTGCGAGTGTCAACACTTCGCATTATATAGTTAACAGGGAGGGGAAAGGGGTATCTGAGAGGTATCTGAATATTATTAAAATATAGTTAGCTCTCTGATATTGGAATTTTGTATTGGTCCCTTATTATAATAGTTAGGCCTTATTACTTCTTTAAGTTGTAGAATGAACTGTTCTGCTTGAATTCATATCAAACAAAGAAAACAGTATTTCTTTTTAAGAAGAGGTTTTTCTTGATAGTAGCTCACACATCAAAGAGATTAAGAAACTCAGCCTTGTGCTTTTAGCAATTTCCAAGATGCGAGTTACCATTACATGACAGGGTATTAGAAAATTCCCTTAAACTTGAATAATCATCAGTGTCAGAGGTTCAATTTTCATATTACCCTTATGTAACTGATAGTCATTGCAAATTAGAATATGTACAGTAAAAGAAAATACTATCTGTTCAATATAAGAACAAATATTTCACTTTTTGTGATCTTACAACATGGGCTCTGTGGGGAATCTCCTTGAACTAGAAATCACATTTTAAAATAAAAACAAAATTTCAAAGTTGATTACTGTTTTTTAAAACCACATTTCTAGATGTACTTTTACATGTAGATTTCAAATATGACATCAGTTTGTCTAAATTCTGAATATTTAATGATGTAAATCAAGTTTATTTCTACTCTCATCTAGTCTATTGCAAGAGCTTTAATTCATCAGAAGTAATGACTTGTACATTCATACTCTTTCTTTTTGAAGTAGCATTAAATCTAGAAAGCAACCTTTCCTCAAATAGTTTCAATTTTAGAATATTTTGGGCTCATATAATCCATTATCATAGGGATAAAAGTACATGTTGCGTGTAATTTTGTCACCTCCTATATCTCTGATTTTGTCATTCAATACATTGTCAAAACCCCTATAATATCAAGGAATTTTCAAAAATTTGTAAAAATTTGAATAATACTAGTAGTCTATAATATACGAGGGTTGTCCCATAAGTCTTGAAATTTTTATTCTAATTCATAGAATATTTGAGATACAATTATAAAAATTTCACATTTTGTAACTTACATATATTTCTACTATCTCTGTAAATTTCATAGCATAATAAGATCATTTGGCAATGTTACAGATGTTTTAAAATGGAATAACAGTGGTACCCGGGGCAGAAAACAAAATAAATATACAAACTATGACGTAAAAAGGATTTGGAAGCACATCCCAAGTGTTTTTTTCTGCTCCGATCCTCTGTCAGAATATGTGGGACGAATCTAGGGGCTACCTTTGACACCTCAAGGTCTTTCTTCATCACTCTGTGAGCAGTACTCTTACTAATATAAAAGTCTACACTGTATGGGTATCTTCCTACAAGTTGTTCTCCTTTCAGCCCTTATACTCTTTGAAATATGTGGTATGAGTTCGTCACTGGATTTTGGCCTTCCACTTCTCGGAGCATCCTAGGCTGGTATCTCCAGTTTTTAACTTCTACCACCTTCATATTGTAGTTGCACTCGGAGTATACTGTCTATATACTTTTTCCATGGCTGTTCTTGTTAGTGTAGGTGTGTGTCCTAAGGAGGCGTGGTATTGCAAAACTGCACGCAAAGAATTTTGACAAAATCCCTGCCATTTTGGCTTTCAAAATGCTGTGTCTCTGTACCAAAATTGAGCAATTGTGCTAGTTTATTATGAAATCACAGAGGTATTTCCCAAGATTCTACCAAGTAAAGAGTGTTTTTGTCAATCTGGACAGGTGCTTCACAATGTAAGATGCATATCATCCTTTAAAATCCATAATACTCCCATGGTTCCATTTTACATTTTTACTATATTTCATTACTGCCCCACCCCCTGCCTCCTCCAGTTACCATAGCAACCAAAATAGTTACTCAAGTTAATAATTTTGTTATGAAACTATCACATGTTGAAGATAATTGATTGATCTTGATACATACCAATTTTCAGCCAAATTCATTGAAATATTTTTGAATTAGAATAAAAATTTCAAGACTTATGGGACAACCCTCGTATATATATAATTGTACTAATTATTTAGCAATTGTCACAATTTAATTAGCATCATCCAAGAATTTTTAGATACCCCTAAAAAATTGCCTATAAATGTACCAAGAAAATATAAGGATGAAGAGATCATCCTTAAATCAGTTCATGATATCGGGATTGCCCACAGGATTTCCAGCCCTTGGAAGATAATGGCCTTGAGATATTCCCAACATCCTGATTCTTTCTCATTTAACTCACATCGTTGCTATTGATCATCACTGGTTGCCTCTAGTAACGTGTGAGACGGCCGTGTGAGACGGGAAAACTCACACGGTAATCAACCAATCAGATTACTGGAATTTTACAGAGCATGTGATAAAGTCTATTTTGTGCTAATGTGAAAACATGCAATTTTCCTTAATTTTCCATCAAAATTGCCAGTCACCAGCAGAAAACAACCTCCAAAAATAGCTTTGGCCAGCAATGAATTAAGATATGAGTTTTCAGATATATGTTAATGAAAAAAACTTAATGCTGTTTTGCTTATCAGGATTTTGACTTCCAACTGTTTTTGGTAGAGGGTAAAGACCTACCCATGATGGAAAGAAGCCTCATAGATCAGATATTTGGAAAACATAATCGTCATGTTATTATAGAAATGCTAATGCAACTTGATAGATTGATTTGACAATGGAACCACAACCTTTCATTAGTATTAGTATTCATTAGTAGCAATCAATGATATAAGCTTGCTGAGTAATGTTTACATCAATAACCAGCAAGATCTGAAGTAAAATCCCAGGAGTATACAAGCTTGAACTAATGTTTCAAAGCTTATATTACAGAAATGACATAAAATGCTCACCCAATGCAGCTTTTCTCAGTTACTGCCATCAAATATGCATGGCACCATTAAGTGGATATAAAGTCTCTAATGGGTCTGTGACTAATTAGTTTTGTCTGGTCATAGAGCAATGGTTCTTTATGAATTTTTAAAGACTAACGTAACAATAAATCTTTTTTTAGAAAACTAGACTCATTGTGAATCTGTGTTCTTCTGTGAGAAATATTGTTGTGCAGAAAATTCAAATATTTCATCAAATAGGAGACAATTTCAGTCGTCAATGGTTAATTAAATTCATTATGTGGTTTACCAAAACAAACACAACAAAGCCTCTATTAGATGTAAGTTTCTAGAGAAATCTCATTCCAGTAATCATCACATATCACCAAGAAATTTAAATAGAATAGACACCTTGTTATGATGTCATTCAGTTTTTATTCAGTGACTTCTAGCAATTTGTGCAGCTCATTTATCCTGTATGGTTTGAAAGTGGAGTAATTGTGAATCTTTGGGTTTGTGAAATATATCAAATCTGAGATCTCCAATTGTGTCGGTTAAGTTAATTTATTGAAAATAGTCCATCGAAAAATTCAACTAGATTAAATCTGTACTGTGTATTTGTCTCAATTTTCATATACCGGGGTATTTGTTTTTGTTTTTAGATCCTTCCAGTAAGAGCCAGTTCCAAGATAAACTGATTGCTATGTCAACCTCTGAAGCCATCTATCTGTTGACAGCCTTTGCAAACATGGCCAGGTCACGTCCACATGAAGATGATGGAGAGTATGTCAAAGCTATTGCTACGGAGATGTTTGAGGTATGTGAGACACTGTAAGACACATTAAATTTGGGGACACCTTGAATTCGTTTATATTTGTGCAAGTGTAAAATCACGAATAAAGGATGCCTTGAACCTTACTCTTAATTAAGGCACTTGCAAAAAATGGGAAAACATGAAAAGGAGCAAATATATATGTTTGCGAAAATTGCTCCCGTGAATTCAATGTGTTTTTTAGTAGTATCTTGTATATTTGTGTTTCTAGGGAGTAGGGAACAAAAAATGGAGGCTTCATTGAATCAAAAATTTGCCTGAAAATCCAGACATGAAATATTGTATGACACTGATCTCTTTCAGATTGCATACATCAGTAGTCACACAAGGGAGTTCTGCTCAAAAGTTGGACGGGAACTTTTATCTTCAATCGCCTCTGAACACCCTTTTATTATATCAGAGCTGCTCCACTATGTTAGCGACACCATCAGTAGAGTTGGCATGGTGAGTATAGTGCTTAAGTGCTTAGAATCTATTCATTTGTGCTTTATGCTAGCATATTTCTCTCAATAGGAGGGAAACGTATCTGTTGTAGACTCGTTATTCACCCATCGTCAAACTTGACAGGGATGAAATGTTGATGATAAATATCATAATCTCTAATTACCACCAATGCTCTTGTCATGTTATTTTGCTAGGGATGTTATATCGTTGGTGATCCTATATAAATCTTGATAAGTCAAAGGTATAAAGACTTCTAATATCTTCTAATTGATATTTTTCTTGTCATGAAAACATTTTTTAAACTGTGACTTTTGTATTTGTAAGAAGCTGAAAATATGAAATTAAATGCAATCAAAAGTTCTGAAGCAATAATGATATCTAATGGTGCAATTATAATTTCTGCATTTCCTGGAGATACTTGCAATTACACTTCAGACATGCACTGGTATTGAACAGTTCTAGGATGTTTTAATATTGAAACTGAAGGAATGTTTTAAGAAATGTTGAATTTATTGATAGCAAAACCAGGAATGTCATGATACAGATTGTCAGGTGATATTTACTTTCAATTCATCCAGAAGTTAATTAGTTCTGACACTTATATATATTGTGTGTGTTCAGTAGATTTGTCATAATGTGGTTAATAATTCTCATGAATGGCATTTATTCCAAATGTCATGGAATATTTATGACATTTCTGCACAAATGTGTTGCATGCGTCAAATGCTTCCATGCACTTAGAATGTGTTCATAACAGTAAAACCAAACATGAACACTGCTAGGATCTGGATGAGCTAAGTGTTCACATTGATAGGTGTTCACTTGAAGAGTTTGCGATACACGATATGAGAAATAAATGAGACATCTGAAAAGAGCTGTTTGCATATTAAGGTGGTCACCTAAGGTGTTCACTTTAAAGGGGTCTTCACTTTAGAAAAATGTTCATATCAAAAAGGTGTTCCCATGAGACAGGCTTTCGCTGTAAGGTATTCATTTTACTTTTGTGAAGTGTTCCTTTTTAAAAGATATTCTCCTCAAAAAGAGGTTACCGTGAAAAAGGTGCTCACAATTATTTACTCGGAAAAAAGTTTACTCAGAAAACTGTTTACTTGAAAAAATGTCCACTTTAAATAAATTATAGATTCTTTTTAGGAAGATATTAGCACTGAAATATGCTTGAAAGGTGTTTAAAAGGTGCTCACTGTGAAAAATTTACTTTTTTTTAGAAAAGTAACAACAGGTTTTACTGTAATGAATAAGCAAGTGCCTGTTAAAAAAATGTGAATATTCCCTCAGTTTTTTCTTAATCCAAACCTATCCACATTTGAATTTTAGGTGCTTATTAAACTGTTTGAAAAAAGCACTTACATTTTTATTAGTTATGCAGCCTTGTTCCAGTTTGGAAGTTTAGTAAAAGACGAAGTATCAGAGATACGTCAAATTATGTGGTTAAGGTTCTGCCGTTTTCTATCAAGTCATTCAAATATGTCAATTTGTTCATGCTTTCTTTTGCAATATTAAAGATGCATTATGCCATAGGTTTCTCCCCCAGGTAATCAATGATGTCTTTTTGTTATTGCTCATATAATATCTCACATACCATGGATATATCTTGAGAATAACTTTTGGGTATATTATTGCCGAAAGATCGGAAATAATCAACAGAACAACCAAACTCCAGAATTAAACACAATCGATTCCTCGGCTAGCGAGGGGAATCCCCATTGAGTCACACAATCACCCACAAGCACCTTGAACAAGTCAGCCAATCAGGATTATGATAAACAAATTCAAATACCAATCAGATAACAGGAGGACTTTCCCACTATATTCAAACTTCAGATTGAATTAATTTCTTCGAAAATATTAGATCGGCCAGCACAATCGCAAAATTAACACTGAAAGAGGGGGATCTGGGACTTCTTCTTTGGTAAGTAGATGGGTTGTTGTGAAATTCAATATGCAAAAAAAGTCCAGAGGGGTCTTGATTGTGCCATCCTATGGCATAGAGCCTCTTTAAGGAATTATGACTTTGAAATAATAATGATTACATATTTGTACCAAATTGACAAAATCCTAACTGATAAGGGGAAGAGACATTGCATTGTATACCTTCCTTTGCCTTATTGGATCAAATGAACTCATGGTATCTAATTTCAGTCATTATATTTCAAAATATGGGAGAAAATAGACTTCAGATTTTATGGCTCAAGATATGCATGGACAGATTATTGCCACATTTGTGAACATTATCCCAGTTTGGTGTATATTTTGAAAGAGTTCTGGGTTGTGTTTTCTATGTTTTCCAACTTGCATGAATTTCTTAATCTTGAAACAACTTATGCTTATTTATGCTTATATTACATTATTGCATGACTGGGGTTTGTAGGAGTGATGTTGTAACCAAGCAGGTTTCTTGTATACTCTGTAACTATCCTAGGGGGCCATCATGTAACAATGAGTTTCTAGGTGAATTATATTGTAATAAACTGTTCTTGAAATTTCTATCCATATTGTTACATCCTGGTTCCTAATGCTGCTGCAAAAAATGTTGTCTATCAGCTCCTTGAATGTCTGCTTCTTGCTATAATATTGGTCACTTTGCCTTGCTTCGGCTGTCATAAATGGTCACTTTTCCTTGTTCGGCTGTCATAAATGGTCACTTTTCCTTGCTTTGGCTGTCATAAATGGTCACTTTTCTTTGCTGTTCCCTTGCTCTTTGCTACCCTTAAGAAAAAACGCTTGTTTTCTCCTCATGTGGTTAAAAGATGACCTTTTTTAACCACATTTTTACCACTCAAGATATGTAAAAGTGTGGTTGTGGTCACCTGTTTTGACACTCATAAAAGTGTGGACCCCACTGGTATTTCTTCCACAGTTCCAAGAAATATCTCTCCATAGTTTCTCCTCATAATGAGAAAGTGTGGTCAAGTGTTACCAAAACTATGGAGGAGCAGGACATTCACCTTAATATGATTTAAGGTTACCATATTATTTATAGGGGTTAAAAGGGTTAATGCTTGTTAAATATATTTTTGGATTTACTGTGCATGATATTCTGGTATTTAAGTTGTTTCATGCATCTTTTTCATCAGCAAACAAATATTTTATTAAACATATGTGACACAAATGAGAATGTTGTACGATTGAAGCATGAATTATTTGTTATTTATTTAATCATCATCAAACTAAATGTCTAAATATAGGACCAAATATCTGGGAAACAATCAAAATCAACCTCAATTTTTATTCACTATCAAAGAGGATGATGTTTGAATATGACTATTCACCGTTCATTGAAGGCTGTATGCACCTTTCACCTGATTGTGACCAATGACAATTCTGCAGTAAATTTTGTGAAACAGATAAAAAGTGTAAGCATTGGAGATTAATAACAGTAAATAAAATGAGTTTAAGATTGAGTCTATTGCCACGTAGGATGGGTTGTTCTATTATGAGAAATCTAACAATTTTAAGCAGTGTAAAAACTAAATTGAATTAAAAGAATTCCATTATATATAAAAACCACTGACCATACGATTCAAAGGTGTGGGTCGGGTGTGGTAAAAGTGTGGTTTGGAGATGGTATAAGAGCAGTACAGGTATGGGTGATGTGCAATATGAATAAAAAGTGTGGACTAAAAGTGTGGGGAAAGTGTGGTCTTTAAGTCAACAAACCAAAAATTGTTTACATAAGTTATAACAACAAAGTTTAGTTCCACAGCTAGGACAAAATGAGTTTATTATTCAGATCTGGATCAGATATAGATTTAATGAAAATAAGCATCCAAGATCAATCATTATACTTATAATTATTTATCATGTAATTAATTATTATCAAATAATTATTAATGATACTGAAAAAGGGACACATTGAAGTGACGAGTCTGGACTGAACATACAGAGGCAATCAGAACATGCCACCTAGATAGATATCACATTTTAGTACATTTTTTAAGCACAAAAGTATCATTTAGATGGATTGAATTATCAGTTAAAACTCCTTACAACCCTGAAATATGGTCCTCAAGCACAATAATGTACATTGCAAATGTTTACAATAAGGCAAAGTTATGTAAGACCTTCACTGAAAATAGAAGAAAAATACACTTCGACCAATTTACGAAAAAAAGGATCACATGATTATGAACATAAATATCTCCCACAAAATGCATCAAGTTGGGTTGTTGCTATAGAACAACAAACTATCAACCTTTGGTATCAACTTAAACTGTGTTTTTCAGAATCTCATAGATTTTACTAAAACTGCTTTTAATAATCTGTCCATATAACTGTAGCCTTAAGGCTTAGGGTGATTAAGTACAAAATATGTCATGGAAAATATACTGAAATTAATGGTTAAATAAAAATCACATTGCTGGGTTTCCTCATTTGCAAGAATATAAGGTTTTTGAAAAGATATTTAGGACTTAATTTTTTTTCCACAAAGCACATTCTGGAATGTGTAATAACAAGTTAACTGACTTATTGATCTATTGTTTTATATAAACATATTAGCAACATCCTTTTCTTGTTTAATCATTAGATTTAGACTCTTGATTAGAATTATAATCTCATTATTAAAATTAACATTGATATAATTCAAATAAACTCACTAACTACAGGTATTACTTTAATTCTTGTGACTCTTCAAGTCTTTGATGTCTAAGAAATAATAAAATCATGTCTGGACTATATTTTAACATATTGATTACATGTATTTGTATCCTTTTAATACAGCAGACACATCCTGTTATTCTTTAATATTAGTCTTAGAATAAGATTAGTCAGTTCAGTCAAAATAAACTTCAGTTTGGAATAACTAATTTTAAATACTTTGTTTTATATTCATGCAAACTTCTGATCTACCTAAATAGAAAAGTCAAGCATCTATCCCGGGAGCATCATTCGTTTGACTCTAATCCTTATGTCATTTTACTGAAATATTTTGTAAAGATAAAACTGTTTAACCTCATTCAGAGTATAAAATGTATATGTGATCAAATTAACTGATCTCCCTATGCTTCAATCATACAACATTCTCATAGTTGCGATATGCATAGTGGAATATTTGAAAGAAGATGCTTAAAACAATTTAGATGCCAGAATAACAGGTATAGCACTGGCTTATCATTGTTTGGTATATCCTAAAATTTTTATGGCAACCATTAACCCTTTTAACCCCTATTAACAATATGGTAACCTTAAATCATATTAAAGTTAATGTCCTGCTCCCCCACAGTTTCAGGAACACCTTAACCACACTTTTTCATTATGAGGAGAAACTATGGGAAGATGTTTCTTGGAACTGTGGAAGAAATACCAGCAGGGTCCACACTTTTATGAGTGTCAAAACAGGTGACCACAACCACACTTTTACATATCTTGAGTGGTAAAAATGTGGTTAAAAAAGGTCATCTTTTAACCACATGAGGAGAAAACAAGCGTTTTTTCTTAAGGGTATAGCATTGGACACTTTCCTTATTGTGCATTTCGTGTGTTTGGTTGAGAACATGAGAGAGACTAAATGTTATAGTTTTATGATACTGATTCAATTGACATATAAAGTGATGTCATTAACCATTCAATTACATAATTTATATGGAATGTAAGTGATTTTATTAACAAATTTAGGAAATAAACATCATATTGAATTTGTTTAATTTTCAATAACATTAAGATAACTTTGTTTATGTTTTAATTCTCCAGGTATCACTTTACCTCTTCAAGGAGCTTCCGATACATTTATGGTTGCCAACAGATGCTGACATAGCCATCGTTAAAAATTGGCTGTTGAATGAACCTCTCACCTCCCCCCAGCATCAATTATCAAGGCTACTAGTTGGCAAAATGAATTGGGCTTATAATCGTCAGGTAAAATATTGATGCATTAGAGATATATACCGAGTTCCAATTTATGATTCAGATTTAAGTTTTCAGATAACATAGATCAGATGAATTGCTCTCTTTTTGCTTTTGGTCTTGTCATAGACAGTTTATCATTCGCATATGTAAATTGAGTTTTTGATTATATATAAAGCAGTTAAATATTTTGAATACTTTTAGGAGGATGCCCTGTTCTTGCCCTTATCTCTGCATCGCTCAATGGCTCTTCTACTGTACCAGGTATACCATAAACATATAACAGAGCGCAATATAAGGGGTGTCATTGCAGATAGTGTCACAAAGGTAATAATTTATATAGAAGTTATTTCATTTATCACATTTAAATTTTCTGGGCAAGTAGCCATAAATTAGCCATAACACATCAACTGAAACAAACATTTTATTTCCATTAGCCTCAGGTTGTGTCAGGATATAAGCCATTCTGGCCAAAATTAAATTATTCACCAGTTGTCCAGTTATTCTCCTACACTTGGTCATAAAGTTAGCTTGCCTGGGATGTCAACTAACTTGTTCTTAGTCTGCATTCATGTCATACATTAAAGGGACTGGGAATGGTAGAGTAGAGATGCATTTATTGATGTAATAACATTTTATAGAAATAGATGAAAGATCTTATTATTGTATTTTGTTTAGGTTACATCAGTTGTTCGGACACACCAGACTAATGAACAGCAGCTTAGTGATTGGGTATGGGACGTTACTCTCTCGCTGCATCTCCATGGGAACAACCAACCACAGCCTTCATTAACTGCAGCGCCATCTGTCTACCAAATATTTCAGCGAGAGAATCTTCCTGATACCACAGATCCGGAGTTGTATCTTATTAAGAAAGGAATGAAAGATTACAGTCCCCTTGCCAGCTATATAGCCCTCACTATGACTAAGATAGGGCATAGGTTAGTGCACTGTTTTATAGCTAGCTTTTTAGCAGTTAAAACCAAATTTGTACAGTACTCCACTGGGTGGGTTGGAATGGGAATGTTAAATTAAAGTGCTTAAACGTAGCATTTTACCTTTAAAAATGAATTTAAAAGCTGTTATCACTGTCTGTAACAAATGGCAGGTTGTGACATTTTGCATGTGAATGCCTTGTTTATATTTTCATTGTGAATAACATGGTCTTTTTGGTTTCAGTATTGAAGATGTATGCAGTGAGGGGATATCTCTGATTCTATGCCTTGTAAACCACTACCACTACATTCCTGCTATACATACGCTGGCATATATTATGCCTTTATTTGTTGGGAAGCAGGAGTACCTGATAACTAATGAAAGGTACTGTAGTGTAGATTGTAACTGGACATTCAATGATTTGGTTACATGATGTGAATTTATTATTGTTCTTCATTTCTCAGATTTCCTACATTCTCAACATTTGGCAACATTCTCAAAATATTCCAATCACTTTTTACCCACTACAATTCAGAGCATTACATTTTTTATTTTCATACATATATTTCATACATATATTGCATAACATAATACTTTAGTTTCCATTTCTATGATTCACCAATCCCACCCAGCTTTTACATTCAGGAAAAAGATTTAAAGAATTTCTCCCTATCCATTCCATGTAACTATTCCAGATTCCTCCATTTAGTACAGTCCCTGACTGGTGCTGATCAGAACAGGTTTACTAAAGGGCTCTTCCAGGAATTCCCTGGCCCAGTCCTGAAACTCCTGCTATGTATGATACAGGTATTCATTCATTTTTTATTAATTTAAAACTCATGATACAAAAAGATAAAACCACAGTGAAATGTGTCAGATTTTATACATAAAACATACAAATAAATTCTGGTGCAAATTGATATGATCATCCTTTCACAGGAACCGTAGTTTGCAAATTCAAAAATCATAAATATTAATTTAAACTAGCTTATACAAACCCTTATAATCCTTTCACAATGAGATCATGAGGACGTTTTTGAAACAGCAATATCTAGTTAATAATGGGACTAGGAATCCTTAGTACTCATCTGATCAAGAGCAATCTAAATAGGTGTTTATATCAATATACATTTTGTTGCATGTTTTGGTTGCAGGTGCATATTGAGAAATCCAGCATATTGCCAGGTGACTCTGGTAGGCTAGCTGTGTTACATCTATGGCTGACGATTCTAACACATATTCAACACTGGCAACAAGACAGGTACTGTTTATATTATTGCTTACATTGACATTCGTTGGCTGTATTGGCCTTCTGAAAACCCTAGCTTCAGTTTACGGTTCGGTTTTTCAATTCTCTATAATTTAATTCACCAGAAGAATTAAGTGTAAAGGTCCTTCCTATGCTTTTATTCTCACCAGTGAATCAGTTTTTATGTCAACGCCTAAAGTGGTGACATATTGTTAATATAGTGTCATATAGTCTCTAACTTTTTTGGATGATGTTCAGCGGTTACCGATCGGTGTCTTAAACAAATGGCAGGTGGTGACATTTTGCTTATTATTAATGCCTTGAAATAGTCTATGTACAAAGTTACTGTTAGCTTTTGGATTTATCTGTGTACATGCTATTAGAATAGAAAAGAATCTATTGAATATAATTTTCATTCATGATTTACAGGGGCGTACTTTGTGTAGTTGATTCAGTAATTAAGGCAGCCTATCGAACAAAGGGTGGGGCTGAACTTGTGGCAACCCTGCTCTATGAAAAGTATACGGTATGTTGAATTGAATTAATGATAATATTCCATGGTTCATCTGTGCCCCTTTGGGTCAGAGCATTGCATTATGATTACATAGTTATCTGCTATGCTGCATATGAGTGAAAGTGACTTAACATTTAGGACATGAAATGAAAATTAAGTTTTAAATATTACATTGATATTTTGTTGGAAAATGCAATTCTGTTTGTTTTTCAGAATTTTGTGAAACCAGATAAAAGCAGTACAGGGTTGTTGTCCTCCATGGTATCCTGGCTTGCTTCAGGCAGCACCCTACCTGAGTTCATTAGTGGCAATTCTAGTCCTGAGTTTCCCTGGTTTGCCTACTTTGTGCTCCAAAGTGAGGCTCAATATGAAGAGGACTCTGGACTCTGGAGGACTGTTGTCAATGAACTGAATTCTAACCCTGCAATAGGGGTGGACCAAGCAGTCAAGGTAAGGCTTCAATTCATTGTGATGAGTAAGGGAAATAAAACCTTATACAATTTATTAACCATCTTATGCTAACACTATTGCATTGTATTGTGTTGTATTGTATTTTGGTTACCCCCATATTTTGGTGAGCAATACCTCATTGGTATATTTCCGTATTTTACATATTTAAACTCGTCAGAGCCATAAACTCATCCTTGGAGGAGCCCTGTGTTCTTTTTATGTGCACCGATACACAGACATACAAGTACTCACCAAAGCCTTTTGTGGACCACTAAGTCAAACAGCCAGGATTACATAACGCACAAACAAATTTGTCTGAACGGTGAATCAAACCCAGGGCCAAGTGATAGTGGTAACCTTGACTCTGCCAATGAGCCATAGCGGGTGGACTGTATGCTCCTTGTCTTGTTACAATATTTCAGATAGCTGCACAGTCACTTAAACTAGAGTCAAGCCCAACAGGGAGCAGGTTGTGTATAAGCAGATGGTTGTATCAGGCACTAGACACTGACCTGGATCATCCCTTGCTACCACTGTTCTGGCAGAGGTTCTTCACAATGTACCTTGGGAGAATGGCTTCGGAACCTGGGTAGGTTATCATATTTTGATTGCTAGTTATTTTACATTCCAATGAACTACTAATTAATACATGCAACTCGTTTATACAATATCATGCTGTATCTTATCTCCCACAGAATGATGTTTGATAGGGATGGAGAGTAGACCATCCATCTGTTCATCAGTCCATTCATCCATCTGACCTCTGTCTGAGAAACAGTTTCCATTATGGGTGCTCAACTTAAAATGGCCATCATAATAAGCAAAAAATATCATCTTGATATATTTTAGGCTCCCACAAAGAGGCAGTATGGGCTTACGGTTCTTTGACAGTATGTCTGGAAACACACTGTTGAAAAGAATTCAGAAACGCCTTCAAGAGACAGCTAAATTCCACCATACAAAAGCTACAGAGCTACAGCATAAAGATGAAGCAAGAAATTCTAGCATAGGTGTGTAACCTTATCTGCCTGAGATATCTCATGTGGGGGAGTATATACAGTGTTTATACCTACTCAGCATATCAATATTAATGACATGGTTGTTACCAGACACTGGCACTTAAATTATACATGCTAACTTGTTGATGAGGTTTATCATATTTTTGATGAAATGGGTGTTGTTATGTACCATAATCTCTTCATATCTGTAAAAATTAGACAATACCTTCTATAATGTTGTAGATGATGAACCCAATGAAGGTGATGAAAATATTAACAACGATGACAATGTTGATGAAGATAATGTTAGAGATAAGAAGGAGAATGCTGAGTACAAAACAAGTAGAGATTTCAGACTGAGGCTAGTCAGGTGAGGGAACAATACAAGAGCAAATAGTCTGCAAGCAAAAAATATGTCAAATAGACTATGAACAACAATATAATAAACGGGTAACCTCATGCATGTGTCTTGTTTTTATGAGTGAATTCAATGAATTACTAGTATGGGATTGGTTGTGTAAAATCAAGTTTTAATTTCTCTACTATCACAGACTATAAACAAACGAATTTTTGTGTTCTGGATGGTTTCATGATCTTTCTCATATAGTTCATATGTGGTGTATTTCATTTTAAGGTTATATGAGACATTTGTGTGTTGGGCCGAGGAGTCCAGACTACATGACCCCAATCTCTATATTCCCGCACTACCCCAGCAGTTTGACTCAGAGAGGTTGTTAAAGGTCTTTCAATATCAGCAGGTGAGTGAATCATGCTCAATAGCATTTTATTATGGTTAGGACTATTTACCTTATGACAAAGAAGCAATCACCACCCTGTTGACACAAGTACTTCTGTATGGGACTCAATAGACTTATCAAAACTCTTTGTTCAGTTCTATAGTTTAAATGATGTTTTGACTCAAAGGCTGGCAAAGACTAAATGTTTCTTTTCTATTTAGCACAAAATCAGTGAACACATACATGAACAATTTCCATTTTTGTCACATATTTATATAAGTCATCAAACAAGAAGTTTCAGATGACTAGCTCAACTTGGTGTACTTTTATGCATAAAAGCATAAAAGTTCATATTTTTGAAATTAAGAGGGAGAACATATTTATTTGACACCATGTTTGTATATTTCTATATTCAGGATCCTTGGCTTGAGTTCATAGATCTAGACCTTATCGATTATGAACTGCTACAATTGGTTACAAAATGGGTGACACATGCTAATACGGGTTACCATGGAAACAGACGTGAACAGCCAGTCATGGCATCTGAGACAGGTACAGTACAGTACAGTACAGTACAGTACAGTACAGTACAGTACAGTACAGTACAGTACAGTACTGTATAGTACAGTACAATACTTTTTATCCAAGAATGAAGGGTTATTCTACAACATATGCAAGAATACCTCCATTATATATGCAAAGACTTTACATATCCATTTGATACATTTGAAGCTTGAAATATTTTTATTAAATATTTTTGCATTGTACATGTTAAAATGTTTTTAACCTGTACATGATCAATATTAGAATCATAAATGATTCAAATCACATACAAAACGCTTACTTGTTTTTAGCCACAGAGAGGATATTCCGTTACCTACAGCCAACCACTCATCCACTGCCTCCCCCATCCCTGTGCCCCCTCAAATCCCCTGTCCCTGAGGTGCACCCTCAGATTCTGTGTGACAGAGATGGAATGCAGTATGCCCTCAGATCTGACTTTGAGATTATAATACAATATGCTAGGTAAGCTTTCATATAATATACTGTTATCTAATGTCATCTTTATAATTATGGGACATGTGCTTTGTTTACACTTAACTCAATATGTGTAATTAAAGAATGGGTATCAATATGGCGACCTTTTTGAACACACGTTTCTCTTAAACCAGTCATCAAAAATTTCTGAAAATCTTACAAATTGTCAATTTAATGGCCATCTTTTGAATGGTAACAATATAATTTGAGAAAAACACAAAAAAACAACAATATAATTTGAAATAGATATACATACTTTCTAGGGGTGGGTCGGGCGGCCCTCAGGTCGGGCACCTTCGGGCCGGGCTCAACTGCTTCGGGCTACGGGCCGGGCCGGGCTGTATAGTCAGTCCTCTAGTTTGAATGACACCATAAGTACAAATGAATAAATAAACATATAATACTGAATCAAGTGTCTTATGTTTTTTGTTAATATTGTTTAACCATGTTCTGATGATTTTACTTCAATGACTAATCAACACCAGGGGAAAGCTAGTCATATAAATCTGACCCTCGTATGATGTTATTTGTTGTTATTTTTTCTGATTTGGATATTTATTTTTCTTATTTTCTTGCATACGAGGGTCATAAACACTAGTGCTTCTATATTGCGGGAATTGCTTTCCTGGCATGTCTACCCAACCAAATTCACACAAATGATAAATTAATTTCTTTGCTTCAACTGTAAAGTATTTAATCTTACCTTAGGCACGTAAAACGCTTGGTAATTGAAGAAATATAAGCACGCTGCTAAATTTTAAAATTTTCTCATTTTGCCTACCAATGTCACTTCCGGGTTAATCTGATAGTCTAGATGTAAAACTATATCAAACGAAATCATAAGTTTTTGTTACACGAATATTCAGTTGAAAGGGAAGCAGTGTCGTTGAGAAGGGAAGTTATTTGGAAGAGTTATTGTTTCAAAATGAGAAAAGTAATAAGTGGCAGAGAACGGCTTTGGAATCGATCTCTGTGTAATAAATAATTATGATTCCGTTTCGATACATGTTATACATTTAGACTTCCGGAAACAACATTCAGCAACATGGCGGGCGATAATGAAAATATAATTCAATTGATTATATTTCGTCAATTATCAAGCGTTTTACATGTCTAAGGTAAGATTTAACACTTTGATGTTGGAGCTAAATAATTACGTGATAATTTGTGTGACTTTGGTTGGTATGGTAACTATGGTTACCCAGACAGGCCAGGAAAGCGTTAACCGCAATTTGTTCCATATAATATCTACGACCGTGTATGCAAAGAAAATGATAAAAAATAAATATCCAAATAAGAACAAGGAATATCGAAGAACAGCATACAACGGTCGGATTTATATGACTAGGGGAAAGCTAGCAAACATTACTCAAATATAATGATAAACACAAATGTAATGTTCCAAAATCCAAATGCAATTTTATTGCTTTTATGTGTAGTATGTATGTAAGAGGCTACTAAACTTAATTTTATAAAATTATTTATTGAATTGAAAAAAACTTTTAAAAAAATCGCTGATATTTTCTCAAAATGCTTACGTACCGGTAGAATATGTAAATGACACCTTGCAGATCCGGCAAATAGTTTTTCTTGGATCGTTTCTCTGAAACCCAAACACTTTCCAAACAGGGCTCCTAAGCCCTGATGGCGCATCTTTGATTTCTAGCTCAGCGTTTTCACGTTTACTTTCAGCCATTATTAGCTCTTCAATGTGGAGGAAACAAATTTTAATTGTACACTGAACGAAACGAGCATAATCCCCGGGGATTTAAGTGGCCCGTTTAGCCCGATGCCCGAGGTTCTGAATCCCGTGGAGCTAATACCCGCTGGCACTCGGGCAACGGGCCGCCCGACCCACCCCTAATACTTTCATCTATATTGTTTTAAAAAACACATCAAACACTTGTTTTTATTCTTGGTATGATGTTTCCAGAGTGAAATGAAACATCTTTCCGAACCTCATTGGAACAAAACGACATAAACACAACATGTTTAGGTCTCTCAATATTGTAATTGTACAAAGGAAATTTTGGTTGATTTTAAAAAAGTATCTTGTTAATGAAATAAAAGGTTTTTCTTGATTTTTTTTATCTATTTTGGGGGATTTTTAAAAAAAATTTTGAATACTATTTTAAAATCAACCAAAAATTCCTTTGTATAACTTTAATATTGAGAGGTCTACAAACATGTTGTATATGCTATTTTGTTCCAACAAGGTTTGGAAAGACATTTTATTTCATTCTCAAGAATTGGTAGAAAGGAGCAAAAACAATTGCACTAAAAAAACAAAAAATTTTAACAAAAATAGTTTTATAAAATATTTCTAAATAATTTTCGCATTAAATTGTTGCCAATCAGTCAACATTACATAAAATACCATGTTTTTTACAGAATGTTTTCAATGATTGGTTTAAGAGAAAAACATTGTTGAACTCAGTTCTCCATATTGATACCTATCCTTTGGAAATATGATCTTTTTACAGTGTGTTTAGTGAGCGGGTTTCTAGACATTTGGCCTTAGATTTGAATTATGTGGAACTTCTACCAGATCTATACAAGAATGAGATGACATCAGTAAGTGAAACAAATAATGACTTATTGATATTATATTTACAAATTGATAAAATTCAATTAAATCGTTGAATGTTGAAGTGGTCTTGAATATTGTATGTATATCTGGTTTACGTATTATGAGGTTATATAATGGTTCTTTCTGTATATCTTGTTTATACTCGAGTGAGTATATGATATATTCACAAGTGAGCGTAGCGAACGAGTGAATATATTATATTCTCATGAGAGTATAAAATGCACGATATACAGAATGAACCATTATATAATCTTATTATGCCACTCTAAGTTCAATTACAGTTGATTCGAACACAATCATAACAAATATAAAAACCATAAAAATATCCCATCTAGCCAACTCAATAATGCTGATGTTGATCTCGAACCATTTATGACGTAGCTTGATTCTAGCATATCATGCTGGAACCATTTATGACGTCACTTGATTCTAGGAAATCATGAACATTTTCATGATTTTTTTATTCATTAGTTCCCAGAATGCACTTCTACAGTGGTATACGCTGTAGTGTATACGGAGGAGTTGTATATGATGACGATATACCACTCTCCACTGTATATCGTTGTTATAGACCCATGTTATACAACTGTAATTGGACTTAGAGTGGTATAATATATAATACATACATGTACCAAAGCTTTGCCTTTTACATTTAGCTTATATTCTTTATGTGAATCTGAGTCAACCAATGAAGTGCGCACTTGTCAAATGTTACTAGTTTTCTCCACTTATTGGTCAATATTTCTTGCAGACTGTTCTAGAAGTAGCATGTAAGAGTATGGTTAACCCCCTACACAAGTGCTCTTCTCCACTCATCATCAGGCCCAGGGTAAGTATCCTTCTCATAATAAGATAACAATAAGTTAAGAATGGAATTTATTAAAAAGATTTATCTCCTGAAGACTATTATGAGTACTTTCCATGTTTTTTGTTATTGTTTGTTCTTATTGACATGTAAAGAAATTCAAAATTGTGCTTTGTTTATGTTGTGAGAGATTTGTGCAGTGTTCTGTCATCAGTTCATTTGTAGCAAGGAAGATATGGTCTGAGTATCAGAATGCTCTGCTTATGTATAGTCACATACAAGAAGATATGGTCTAAGTATCAGAATGCTCTGCTTATGTATAGTCACATACTAGTTACAAATTGCAGTTTGAAGCCAAGGCAAGATGTGAGATTGTACATAGAAAAATAGAAGAAAACAGGGCATCCTACAAGCAGCTAATGATTGAGTCTCTTCTGCCTCCAGCCCAAGCTGTCTGTAGCTCTGCAGTTCATGTGGAGAATGCAATCACGTAAGTTATTTTCATAATGAATTCATGTGAATACAAAACATATTGTGGAGGGCATATGCTGAAATTATTATTGTACTTAGGTTATTGTACTGTTCAATAAAAATGCTAAAATTGGACAGCTCATTTTTAGAGAGTATTTTGCATAAGACTGAAGTGTTACTTGTTCTTATTGTGTCCTTGATGTTATGAGCTTTATGCTGAATGTTTTTTATTTGTCTTCAATACATTGATTCTAGTTTTTTTAGTGTGTATGTTTCTTATTTCTGTTTGTATTTCATGTTACAGTGCCCTTGTGAAGGTGAAGAATAATACTAAAGATAAGCATCGTCGTTTAGCTGCCATTGAAGTTGGAACATCCCTGTTCTACCATATGTCCTCACTAATTAATGATGACACAAAGCAATACCCACCAACTAGGCAATTCTTCTCTTCTTGTATTGAAGTCCTTGGACAGGTATAGTTGGTAACCTCAAAACGTTTAAAATTATCTGTCTGCTTGAGATAGTTCCAATAATGAAAAAAGTACAAAGGGCAACCTGTAGTATGAAACTGATTCAAAAATTTTAAGACTTGAGACAGGAAAGATTAAGACATTGTCACCTATAAAAGTATCAATTAGAATTTAATGTTGGCATCTGTATGAGCAACAACGGCTATTTCAATAATTTTAGGAATTTATTCGCAACAATCCTGAGCAGAGCCAACCATTACTCCAAGCTATGTTAAAGACACCATCCTTAGCAGGCTTCCTATCACCAAATTTCTGCCCCAACATGTGTCCCCAGCTGTTTGTCACAATGTATGAGGATACCATCCATGTTTCCTCCAATCAGGGTGTAGATCTAGCATTCATGCTCCTTACTAAGGTATGTGATGTTTGAATAAACTGTAATTGCATGTGAACTTAGTAAGAAAATGTCTCATCAGACAGCTTTCATATAGGGCTATCTAATGATTTTGGATCAGTATGTAGTCAATCAGTGATGCAAAGGAGATTCCCTCCCAGTTGACCCTTGTGTACTCTCATTGATTTCAGACTTAAATTCATTGGATCATAGCATGTCATTCACATTTCAGTTTGATGTGAAGCACTGGCTGGAAGGTGCCAAGCCTGTGTTATCTGAGCGAAGTCAGCTGGTGTCAACCCTAGCTAAAGCTCTCTATGGTTGTGGAGTCACCCCTGATCCCTCCATATTGATGGTGTTTGAGATATACCGAGTCCACCTTCAGACAATGCTAGAGTACCAGTTCCCTGACCACTATGGGGAAATATTAAAGGTAAGGCACCAGACATTATCAGTTTAATGACCACTATGAGGAAATATTAAAGGTAAGGCACCAGACATTATCAGTTTAATGACCACTATGAGGAAATATTAAAGGTAAGGCACCAGACATTATCAGTTTAATGACCACTATGAGGAAATATTAAAGGTAAGGCACCAGACATTATCAGTTTAATGACCACTATGAGGAAATATTAAAGGTAAGGCACCAGACATTATCAGTTTAATGACCACTATGAGGAAATATTAAAGGTAAGGCACCAGACATTATCAGTTTAATGACCACTATGAGGAAATATTAAAGGTAAGGCACCAGACATTATCAGTTTAATGACCACTATGAGGAAATATTAAAGGTAAGGCACCAGACATTATCAGTTTAATGACCACTATGAGGAAATATTAAAGGTAAGGCACCAGACATTATCAGTTTAATGACCACTATGAGGAAATATTAAAGGTAAGGCACCAGACATTATCAGTTTAATGACCACTATGAGGAAATATTAAAGGTAAGGCACCAGACATTATCAGTTTAATGACCACTATGAGGAAATATTAAAGGTAAGGCACCAGACATTATCAGTTTAATGACCACTATGAGGAAATATTAAAGGTAAGGCACCAGACATTATCAGTTTAATGACCACTATGAGGAAATATTAAAGGTAAGGCACCAGACATTATCAGTTTAATGACCACTATGAGGAAATATTAAAGGTAAGACACCAGACATTATCAGTTTAATGACCACTATGAGGAAATATTAAAGGTAAGACAATAGTTTCTCTTTCAAGGTACATAAGTGCTCTCTTTGTGCAAAACTGAAAGATGTATGTCCATGATGCCCTTAATGTTAAACATTGGGAGTTTATTAAAAGCAAAAGCAAAATCAATTCCCTTGAGCATGTGGTTTATAGTACTTTGGTGTGATTTAAAATCATCATTTCAATGGGTCGGTAACATCTTTTTTAATGAAATGTCCTGTTTTTATCAATATTTATGTAAACAAATAGGCACAAACACAGAATGGATCTAGGTCTAACCTTGGAACGACCTTGATCTCTGGGTCACCAAGGGTCAATGTACCTCCCAAGGGTCTTAAAATGCCAAATACCTAGAAATAGACATTTGTCCTTGGAAAGACTCTGACCTTCACAGAATACCCATTGACCCACTTAGTATGTTGGCCAAGTATGATGATTTAAGTTTGACTAGTTTAGGAGATATCCAGATTGAGAGACGGACAGAGAGACTTGAATAAAAAAGACTGTCAATTCGCATTTTTAATCAAAAATCTAAATATTTGTATTTTTACCTTATTACCTTAGACCTCAGACCTCTAACATTTGCAATAACTACATTTACATTTATCAGTTTTATTTGTTTTTTATGTTATATTATTAACAAATTCTATATACAATATGTATATACCGTATTTGCCGTAGTAGGCGCCCGGGCGCTTAAAGTAAGTCAAAACAGTTCAAAAAGTTGTCCTTATTAGCGCCCATATGAGTCCCGCCTGAGAAAAGATGCCGGGGTTTCACTTTCAGTTTAGAAAAAAATTGGAAGAAAATTTTGGTTCGTGAAATTCGCCACGTTTGCATGGACTGTGGGGTTCATACCTATCCCACTCTTTTTGCTACACTAATGGAATATAAAATATGTACTTACATCGGTATTTTACTCGATAAATCTATAGGAAACGGACTTATACCTGCTGAATCAAATTCGAATTTTTTTCTCAGCCTCGTTTTGGAATTACATGTCGGGACCCAGGGACTCACCCTCGGGCCTCCAAAAGTCTGGGGGGGCGCTAATAGGAACATGGGCGCCAATTACGGCAAATACGGTATGTTAACAGTCTAGATTAGGTGATTAGAAATGTCATAAGACAAGTTGAGGCGAAACAAAATCAAGAGTGGCACACTCTAGAAAAAGTTCTTTAAAGAGAGAATCAGATCTAGCGAGCAGGCTTACAAAAAATTGTTTCAATTTTAGAATATTTCTGGCTTATGTCATTCCTTTTCATGTCTATTTTCTAAAAATACCCAAAGTGCACACTTTATTTCAGGAAATCTCGAGATTTTTACAATAATGTATTATTTTTCTATAAGAATGGATACCATTCTTATTATTTGGGAGAATTTAAACATTTTTCACCCATTTTAGCACTTTGAATCCATTATAACTTCACCAATTTATAACATATCATGAATCTTTTGGGAGATATTGTATTTGAGATTGTAAGGAATAGATTGGTAGGTCAATTGTTCATGTTGCTTGTAATTTTGTCACCCCCATAGATCTGATTCTGCCTTTAAGTAAAGGGAGTACAGTACACAGTAAACAGGTAACTTGATTTTGTTTCACCTTTTCAACTTTTCCTTTTACATTTCTAATCACCTTCAAAGCACCTCTTCTTAGGTGCACCACTTTTGGGTCATTTGTCTTTTACTCCTTCACATTTATCTTGTTATCCATTGCTACATGTAGTTCTTTGTTGTTGTCATGGACAACCCATCTTACTACAGAACTCTTTCACTTCTCATTGTATTTATTGATTATGAATTATCGATTGATCTTGTGTATACACTTGTGAAACGATTGATATGACAATGTTATACTCCGGGTTGTTCTCCTTCACTTCCTGCATTACAGCTGTAATTTTAGTAATGCATGAATTTACATCTGTAGCCCTGTATTCATTCATTTGTTCCGATGCCCTTTTTTTTTTCTTTTGTCATGACGCCACTTTGGATTTTACTATTAATTTTTCCATGAGGACCACCATTGAAAGTTCAGTCAGTGAATGCCTTTCATTGAGTTCTGTACTCAATGAAAGGACATCTGTATTCTAATAATTTATCGTCTGTACAGTGTATAAGTATAATAAAGTACAATCATCTACAAAAAGTGGCTAGAACTGGGACTGAACCCAGGACTCCTTGATCCTGTAGGAAAAGCTTACCAATCACAACATTATTTTATAATAAACTGATTTATAAAACTTCAAGTAATGTATCCCTTTTCTCACATTGCGCAATCCCCCTTAATTGTTTAACCATTAGTTTCATCGCTTGCTAGTTTCAATTGTTCCAAGCGTGCTGACAAGTCACTTTCAGTCTGATCGATGAACTTGTGTTGAAATCTAATCTTGATAATATCATGGTCAAAAATCTTTGGATCTTTTATTAGGCCAGGTTTTAAATTCTCAACATTATCTCCTTTTGCCGTTTGTTCAAAATTCTTCTTGGGCCAAGCTACAACATAGTCAATGCATTTGTTTTGTTTACTTGTATAGACATAATCATCGTATACGTGTCCATCATATTTGCTTAATCTCTTACTCCTTCTGGGGTAGTCATCACTTCCCATGTTGAAGTCTCCTCCTATAATAACGGAGCAGCATTCGTATTTCTTTCTGATCTCTTCAACTAATAAAACCATGTCATCAAATGCAGCATGTTTCTGCTTTGATTTTTTTTTATGACGACCATGCCATGCTACGACGAGTAATCGCTTATTATTTGGTAAAACCAAATAACCACAATCCAGTGTAGTTAGTTCAGGTTGTTCATTAAAATCCTTTATGCTATCCATTATTATTAATGTATCTTTAATTCGTTGAAAATCAATATCACCAGTTTTATCTATCATGTGAACTATGGCATCCTCTTTCCAAATAGTTTCACTGGTGCATTTATCTCCTATTAATTCTTCAGCTACTTTCTTTGTTTTTACTTCTGAGAGTATGAGGAGTGTTGTGTCAACAATATCCTCATTTTTTATCCAGTCTACAACATCACCTATAGCTTTATTACGATCTTCCTGCGTTCCCTCATTTTTAGAATTATGATGGACATTAAACAAATAAATATCAAATTCATTCATATCCATATTCTTCATAGCCATTGTCTGTTTTGATTAGCAGTTCTTTAACTTTTATGATCAATGTATTGCTTTTTTTCAGTAAGTACTTATAATTAATTCTGTTTGACTTCTCACTTTATGTCATTTATTTATATGTTGTGTTAGATTGTTCCAGAGTGCAAATATTAAAGATCAAACAATTGCTATTGTAAAATACAAGTGGCATTCAACACATCCTGTTTGAATACACATTCAGTGTTTGCTTGCTTTTTAGAGAGGCTTCAATACAACTTATACAGAGAAAGAAAACCTCAGCTTATACTTACATATTAGGCTACAATGGCTTGAGGCTCAAAAATAAATAATAAAATGAAAATCAAAATCATAAAGGTCCATGTGCAGTATGGCAAGTGATTTTAGACAGTCATATCTCTCACCATGAGTATTTTCTGGGTATAAATGTCAATTTATTGAAAATTAATTGGTTTTATGTGTGTTTTATGGGAGTGGTTAATTGTTGTTACGATTGTCAGAATTTGATGTAAACAAATCAGTTACTAGGAGACAGAGTTGAATGTAGGTCAACGCACATGCGCAGAAGAATGCCATTTTCCATTCATTTCTTGATACAAGGAGAAAGCAGGTGGTTATCTGAGTGAATCTCGCCCGCCATCCCTCCCCCATTTACCACCCATGAATTATCCCCCAACTAAGTTGAGACAAGAAATGGTAAGATAGTTATTGTTAGTGGTACATGAAGGTAAGCAACCAAAGTAATCACCATGGTATTGATCAGATGTACTATTCTATTTTTAGCTAATTAGAAAAAATAAACAAAAATGTGTAACAATAAAAACTACTCCCTAAGAAACCCACATAAACCAAAAAAGACAAATAAATACAGTGGTATTAAAACAATATGTTTTCTTTTAAGTGAAGTCCCTGTGATAGTAAAATATCAATCCAACTCTCTGAAAAATTATGGATTAGGGCCCCACCTTGGCACTTTTTAAAAAATGTTAGACTTATTTTCTAAAAAGAGGATCTTATTTTTCTCAATTTAAACATATTGAAAGTCTCCTCTACATTATATTAACAATTTCTGAAAAGGGGATGGGTATTGAAATGTGTTAAAGTTAAAAACCACATATCCCATGTTATTTTCCCATAGGGAAAACTCGTGCTATCCATTGTTTTCAGCATAATTTTGGTCATCGAAAATTGATATCTTCAAAACTAGACTTTCAATACCATTCTATTTTTGAAGATGTTTTAGACCCCTTGTTGAATAATCTTTTCATGCAATAAAAATTAGAAAAGGGAGATCCTCTTTTGAGTAAATCGGTTCAATATATTGAAAAAAATGTTGACAGGGGGTCCATATTCATAATTTTTCGAATTGTTCGATTGATATTTTTATCATCATGGTGTTACGTTCGAAAATAACAGAAAGTAAAAACAGCAATTAAAATATGATAACAATATATTTATATTTTGAAAACTAAATAATATAACAATAATATAAAGGAGGTTTAATACTTATGTGATGTCCAATCAATGATACGGCTTATTCTTGATGTCGATAAATGTCGTTGACGATACTTGAGAATGTTCCGGATCACGAAATGTTTCAATAATCGTTAATAGTTCTCCAATGTTTGTAATAATCCAATAATGTTTGTTGTAATCCTATAATGTTCGTATCCAATAATGTTTGATGATAATCCACAAATGTTTGATGATAATCCACAAATGTTTATGATAATCCACGAATATATATGATAATCCGTATATAATGTATGTTGTAATATATGTCCATATAAAGTCCTCAGGTTGTATGTTTGTAGTGTTATAAATGTTCCCACAGTAATTATCTGCTAAGAAGATGCCCTTTTGATAAACTTTGAAATTCTGCTTTATTTAGTTCCTTTGAGATGTCCAGTTATGATTACTTAATTATCTGCTAATGAGAGTCACTGTGCTGTTCTTTTTATAATGTGAAAGAATGATCCAGAAACGAATCTTCTGGAACTACATCTTGATTGGACATCTTTAGTGACATGATTAAATTTTAATGAATGGTTATAATTTCTAGAACTATCTGGATGGTCAAGGGTTAATGAGTCATTCAGTTCAGTTTTGTTTACAAGATACAGTGTATAATGTCATTGTGACCTTGACCTAAGATCTCTAATAAAAAATAGCTCAACATATACAGCAAGCATACATTACAAATTAAACTATAGGTGAATATAGTAGAATATAATATACATATAGCTCACTACTGTAACACCTCCCTCCTTAAATGAAAAGTTTTGAATGCAATGAAAAACTTTTACAAGAATATCTTGAGTAGCGAGCGTTACAATTTCTAAAAGTGAGGTTGAGACTTACATGATATTAACTTTACAATAGTCCTTTTATATGCAGTATGTTTACAAATAATATAATACTTTCTATCGTTACAGTGTGAGTACAATCTAATAACACATAATGTTCTGTAATAATGTGTTACAATAGTATCATACTAAATTAGTATCAAACTAAGTTATGCATCAAGTCATAAATACAATACACGCAATAGATCATATAACTTGTACAATATCATACATTTATGAGTCTGATTATCACTTAACTTGTACAATGTTTAAAATTATCACATGATCTTATGTAAGTATTTCTAATAGTACACTCTGATGTTATCAAGTAATCTTGTGACACTATTTAAAGATTACCTATAATGCTCACATAATCTAGAAACATTCTTGTAGTTCATATAATATCAATTTCACTATTTAGGCAAATGTTTTTATACATTGTTAAAATAAAGTGACAGTTATCACAAATCTCTAATTTGCCTACCATATAATATAATCTTTATGAGTTAATCATTATAATTTACAATATCTGACTCTTGAATAACATACATGTATAGTTGTCATTGACATACAAGTTTGGCCTATGAGGTAAGAGCACAAGGTCATGCTGAGTAAGAAATTTATCACGCTCAACATACCTTTTCATCATATGTAGCTCTCTACACCTCACAGGAGTAGCTTTATCAATGCAAATGAAATCATTCAGCACTGAGTTAGATTGTAAGTCAGATATGAGCTCCTTTGGTATCTCAACTAATGTGAAATTGTTGATTTGTGATTTCACAATATACTTGGTTTTGCTATTCCTAAGCATAAGATGTGATTTTATTTCTAGAAACTGTGTGGCCATAGACAGAATAGTGAGCAGATATTGATTATCAGATTTTGTTTTTGGTAATGGACCAACACAGTCAATAAGAACCTTACTGAATGGTTCATCAAATGCAGGTATAAGTTGTAAAGGAGCAATTGAGATTTTCTGGTTAGGTATCCCTACCATTTGACATGTATGGCAAGACCTACAATACTCTTGGACATCTTGTTTTAATTTGGGCCAATAGAAATGATTGAATATTTTATGGTATGTTTTAGTTACTCCTAAATGACCTGCCATGGGAGAATCATGAGCTAGACTCAAGATTTCCTTATGATACGATTTGGGGACAACAATTTGATGTACAATTGTCCAATCATCTTCAGGGGAAGCTTCAGGAGGTCTCCACTTTCGCATTAATATGCCATCCTTTTTGTAGAAACAAACAGGGACCTTGACAGCTTCATCAATAGTAAGACATCTTTTATGAAGATCAATGAGTGATGGATCATGCTCTTGTTCATAAATTAACATGTGTTTAGAATGAGGATCATTTTTCAAAGAATCACTATCAGAAATAGAGGATGAAACCTCAGAACTAGAAGAGGATGAAACCTCATGAACACTAGCAGAAGAAGATGAAACTTCATCAGGACTAGCAAGAGCGGGCGAAACCGCATTAAAATAGTGATCCTGCTCAGAAGGTGAATCACCTCTGGCAATAGGCTTTTTCAATGAAGAATTTGCCTCAATAGTTGACTGCTTGGCTCGAACAGAAGGCTGTTTCAATGAAGAATTTGCCTTTAAAATAGGATAAGGACCATCTTTAACAAGTGGTGAGTGACATTCATCATCAAACAAGGAGCTTAAAAACCCACTATCAAAGTCATCTCCCACAGACGAATCCCCGCTATCAGCTAACCTTTTAGCCATAGCCCTAGTAACAGCACAAGCAGGATATATATCTGAGTCCTCTTGGACAGAATCCTCAATAGAACAAGGCTGATCTGAAACAATGGGGTCTAATGATACCTTACCCCCAGCTAAATCATTGCCTAAAAGCAATGCGACTCCTTCAACAGGAAGTTGTGGCCTAACACCAACAATAACTGGCCCTTTGACTAACTCTGATGTGATATGAATACGATGGAGGGGAACTTTAGTAAAACCTAATTCAATGCCTTGCATCAAAATATGGGTACCTGTGAATGACTCCTCAGATAAAGGAAGGACACCTTCTAACAACAAAGTCTGAGATGCACCCGTGTCTCTAAGAATCTTAATTGGCTTTGAATTGGTATCATCACTTGACAGTGACACAGATCCTTCAGACATGAAAGGCTTATAATCCTCCATAATATCACTATGAGTAGATTTCTCAGTATGAGTATATGAATCCCAAACAATGGGCTTTCTTGAAATGGGAACAGTAGCACAACCATTTGAATGAGCAGAACCAGACATCTCTCTTCTATTCTTAATCCTATAGCATTCAGAAATAATGTGACCAGGCTTTTTACAATAATTACAGGTGACATTTGATGTTGGACCTGACGATTTTGATTGATCTGATTTTGAGCTAGAACTCTGTGATGAATTAGACTGGTCTTTTGCTTTGTTTGATGTATTTGATGATGAGGACTGATTTGATTTTGTATCATATGAAGGTTTGTTACCTTGATAACCTCTAAAGTTAGGATTACCTTTGATAAAACTACCCTTATGAGTTAGAGCATAATCATCAGACAGGGTGGCAGCTTGACTTAAAGTTTCTACCTTGTGTTCATCTAAATAAGTTCTAATGTGATATTGAACACAGTTTTTGAATTGTTCTATTAGCATAAGCTCTCTGAGCTTTTTGAACTCTTCAGATACATCTTTAGAGACAAGCCACCTGTCAAAAAGCTGCTCTTGCTCTCGAGCAAACTCAACATGGGTTTGGTCACTCTGTTTGTGGGCATTTCTAAATTTTTGTCTGTAAGCTTCTGGCACTAGTTCATAAGCTTTAAGAATCGCATTTTTAATAAGGTCATAATCAGAGCATACTTCTGCTGAGAGAGAGGCAAATATTTCACTTGCTTTACCAATGAATACACTCTGAAGCATAACTGGCCATGCTGATTTAGGCCAATCGAGGCTTTGAGCGACTTTTTCAAAATGCGTAAAGTATTTATCAACATTTTTCTCCTGAAATTTAGGTACAAATTTGAGAAATTTTGAAGCGTCAAATCTATTTTCAAAATGTTGATGCATAGTAGCATGTTCATCAGTTTTAGATTGAGCTTCTATTTCCAAACGTTTTAATTCAATTTCTCTTTGAATTTCTTGTTCTCTCATTTGTCTTTCATTTTCTCTTTTTTCTCTTTCATTTTGCATTTCTAACTCTTTTTCTCTTAATTCTTTTTCATTTTGCAACTCTTTTTCTCTCCTTTCATTTTCAAGCTCTTTTTCTCTTATTTCAAGCTCTTTAAGCCTTATAGGATCTACAGGCTCAACATGCTGGACTGGCTCTACAATAAGCTTTAATGCTTCTTCTGGTAATATTTCTTCCGCTACCAAATATGGTACCAGAATATTTTTTATTGCACCTTTTCGGTATGAAGTTTTTACTGCCAAACCAACATGTTTTGCTAGTGCCAGAAGTTCAGTTTTCTTTAACTTGTCAAACTCCTCCAAAGAGGGCGCTTCTAAAAATGTCTCAACCTCAAAACTCATTTTTGATTAATTGCTGTCTTCACAATTTAGATATACAATTTTGGAATTTTGAATTTTAAGATTTATGAATTTTAGCTTGTTGTAGTTGTATCCCGGACGAGCCCCCAATTTCTGTTACGTTCGAAAATAACAGAAAGTAAAAACAGCAATTAAAATATGATAACAATATATTTATATTTTGAAAACTAAATAATATAACAATAATATAAAGGAGGTTTAATACTTATGTGATGTCCAATCAATGATACGGCTTATTCTTGATGTCGATAAATGTCGTTGACGATACTTGAGAATGTTCCGGATCACGAAATGTTTCAATAATCGTTAATAGTTCTCCAATGTTTGTAATAATCCAATAATGTTTGTTGTAATCCTATAATGTTCGTATCCAATAATGTTTGATGATAATCCACAAATGTTTGATGATAATCCACAAATGTTTATGATAATCCACGAATATATATGATAATCCGTATATAATGTATGTTGTAATATATGTCCATATAAAGTCCTCAGGTTGTATGTTTGTAGTGTTATAAATGTTCCCACAGTAATTATCTGCTAAGAAGATGCCCTTTTGATAAACTTTGAAATTCTGCTTTATTTAGTTCCTTTGAGATGTCCAGTTATGATTACTTAATTATCTGCTAATGAGAGTCACTGTGCTGTTCTTTTTATAATGTGAAAGAATGATCCAGAAACGAATCTTCTGGAACTACATCTTGATTGGACATCTTTAGTGACATGATTAAATTTTAATGAATGGTTATAATTTCTAGAACTATCTGGATGGTCAAGGGTTAATGAGTCATTCAGTTCAGTTTTGTTTACAAGATACAGTGTATAATGTCATTGTGACCTTGACCTAAGATCTCTAATAAAAAATAGCTCAACATATACAGCAAGCATACATTACAAATTAAACTATAGGTGAATATAGTAGAATATAATATACATATAGCTCACTACTGTAACAATGGGGACTTCACTTGAAAGAAAACATACTGTTTTAATAAAAACCACTGTATTTATGCCCAGAAAGTACTCATGGTGAAAGATATGACCGTCTAAAATCACTTGCCATACTGCACATGGTCTTTTATGTTAGATGCTTTTAAGGTAGCTTCATGATTACCTAATGTTGAATAAAGGTGGGCCATGATATTGGGCTGTTGTGACATCATCATCATCATTACTATCTGGTTCAGGTTGAGATTTTAAGTTATGATAACTGTAAGCTCTTGATTTTCCTGATGCTCATTGATTCATTCTTTTATCTTCCATTTCAATAGCTCTCTAGAATCTTAGTTTTTTCCAGTCTATAGTTTTGTTGTCTCTTATAGAAATTATCATCACACTTAAAAAGGTATGATATTGTGGTCAGCTTGGCAGGTAGGCAGTGGTCAGATGATTGGGGTAGAGTCTCATTTTCCTTCTCTGTACATTTCAAGAGAAAATACTCGACGGGATGATTTGAATTGTTCAGGGATGTTTCTTGCTCTGAAAATCTAGGACTGACTAGTTTCTGGGCATGCTGAGTTGTTTAGGGTGGCCACTCTTGGTTATCAGGTACAGTATTGTTTGTCATGTGAACATAGTAGGTGCTTCTTTGTTTTGCTGCTGTATCATACCTTGCTGAATTACAATGGGTTAACCATATGTCTTTGTCACCCTTGAGGTGGCTAGATTATTTCACAGAGGTTGAATTCAACTGAACTGTCTCTCTACTTTTTATGTCCCCACCACATAGTGTTGGGCCATATTGTGGGCCTAGGCGCGTCTGTCTTTCCGTATGTCTGTCTGTCCGTCCATACGTCCGGCAGTTTTCTCAAAAACCGCTACAGATATCACCTTCAAATTTTCAGGGATAACTTATGAGTGCATACAGATGTGGATGAAAAAAAATTAACTCGATACCTACTTCCTGTCGGCCATTTTGAAGTCAAATGCTAAAATCCTTGTCTGCAAACTTTAAGAAAAACGGCTTCACAGTTGCTTTTAAAACTTTAACATCTTGTTCAGCTCACTTCATTCTAGATCTGATTAGGTTTTGGACCTGTTTGCTCAGTCATGTCAGCCATTTTGAATGTTTTAAGAAAAGTTAGCGCACGATAATACTTTGTATCATATTGAATGGTACTTTTCAGTTTTCATACTTTAACTATTTAGTAGCTTTATAAATAATTTCAGGTGTACTTTGTTGTAAAAGCCTATGTTATTGTTAAGAGTAGTTATATGTGATAATTTTGTAAAAAGAAATCAGCAAAAACTCATAATCACTTTTTTATTGTCGGCCATTTTGGATTTTCCGTCCTAAAATCTTGTCTGTAAAGTCTTGTCTACGCGTTTTCAGGTGAACCATTTGGTAGATCAATTTCAAATTTTCAGGGATGATTCTTAGTATGAAAATCTAGATCTGATTAGTTGTTGGGCATTCTGGGTAAATTTCAAGGCAGCCATTTTGGATTTTCCGTCCTAAAATCTTGTCTGTAAAGTCTTGTCTACGCATTTCTAGGTGAACCGTTTGGTAGATCAATTTCAAATTTTCAGGGATGATTCTTAGTATGAAAATCTAGATCTGATTAGTTGTTGGGCATTCTGGGTAAATGTCAAGGCAGCCATTTTGGATTTTCCGTCCTAAAATCTTGTCTGTAAAGTCTTGTCTACGCATTTCCAGGTGAACAGTTCGGTAGATCAATTTCAAATTTTCAGGGATGATTCTAAGTATGAAAATCTAGATCTGATTAGTTTTTTGGCATTCTGGATAAATGTCAAGGCAGCCATTTTGGATTTTCCGTCTTAAAATCTTGCCTGTAAAGTCTTGTCTACGCGTTTTTAGGTGAACTGTTTGGTTCACCTAAAAAGATCAATTTCAATTTCAAATTTTCAGGGATGATTCTTAGTATGAAAATCTAGAACAGATTATATTTTGGCATTCTGGATAAATGTCAAGGCAGCCATTTTGGATTTTCTGTCCTCAAATCTCGTCTGTAAAGTCTTGTTTACATGTTTTCTGGTTAACTGTGTGACGGATCAATTTCAAATTTTCAGGGGTGGTTCTTAGTATGAAAATCTAGAACTGACTCATTGTTTGGCATTCTGGGTAAATTTTAAGGTGGCGATTTTGGATTTTCCGTCCTCAAATTGTGCCAGTAAAGTCTTGTCTACTCATTTTTAGGATAACCATTTGACGGGATCACCAATAGGTGGGGACATTTTGTACACATTTGTGTTCTTGTTTACATGCATGATTGTATCTAATAGGTCGTAACACTTGTTGATATAACACATTCTTTTGTTCCAAAAACCTGAATTCTTTTTAATTCTTTACAGTGTCTACTGAAGGGGTCACAAGAACAGACAATAAGTCCTCTTTGCTGGGGGGACTTCCTACAGTCATTAGGGTGTGAGTATGTGAGACAAGAGGGGGTCAGTGAGGACAATAAACGTAGAATGTCAACTACACAAGCTGAGCTCTCAACCAATCAGGTAAATTAAAAGAGACCGAATAATGATTAAATTTGAATTGCCAAGTCATTATTTTGTTTTGCAAACCTATTTGATAATTTAGCATTTTCAATGTTGTTCATTGATTTATAGGCATCTCATATTAAGGCTAATATGGTCATTGACAATGATATAATATGATAACATACTTTTTTTCTTCAATGATCTTAACCAGGGAACATAATCTCAATGTCTATTGCCAAGTGACCTTAGACATGAGTTTTTTAACAGTCATTTTCTCATAGTTTATTCTACTGAAATTTGTATTCAGTTGAATGAGACAATTGAATGGCTGGCCACATACTTTCGCAGAGAAAGAACATCATCGACTGACCTCGCTGCATTTGGCCTGTATCCTAAATGGAAGTGCTATGTTAAATACCTGGCTAATTTCATTGGTTTCCTCTGTGGCAGCTTAGTACAGAATGTTGCTGCAACATGTCAGAGTGGAGGATTAGATCCATGTGCAGGTAAGCCTCTTCTCAACCCATATATGTTTAATGACATCACACCAGCAGCAAATGGTAACTAACTTAGATCTTTATCAAACCCCTTTTTATAATCCTCTACATTATCTTAAACTGATTGTTGTTAAGACGGATGTTTTGATCAAGAAACCTGTTCACAGTCAGAAGTGCTGCATCATGATCTATTTTACATGCAAAGTTAGGGGTGCTTTAAGTTTAAAAAATGCACAGAACAGTATTGTATATTTTTTGTCAATTCGTCATTTATACAAAGTCACTCACATAATAATGAAATACTCTTAATGTACAGGCTTTTGGCAATTATGAAGTACTTTAATATAATGTACAGATTATAGGCTTTGTATAAAAAACCTCCTACCTCATACCCACCTACCCATGTACGTGGGACATGATACAGTCTTTGAAGGGTTCAATTTTAAAGATCTTAGTTTATTAAATCTTAGTTTATGATGAATTAAAGATGCATTTGTAACGACCCTTGATAGCAAGTTGCTACTACATCCCAGCTGGGTTCGATTCCCACTTGGGGCATCGAATTTAGCACACTTCCTTTCAATTTCTTTATCTGGCTTGTTGGATCTATGCTCGCGGAACCCTTCAATGACTGTATCATGTTCCACGTAGGTGGGTATGAGGTAGGAGGTTTTTTATACAAAGCCCAGATTATAAAATACTAGTCTATGTACTCTTATAGTAATCAGGCTACGTAAATTAAGAACCATATTCTCTGTAATTTTAAATTAGTGCCCACCCCCTAATAAGCACCCACTCGTTTCACAAAGTTCAAGAAATTCTAGTGGGCGATAATAGAGTACTTACACTAAACTACTGTAAATGTGTCACATTTTGTTAATCAATGCATCCTCCTGGTAAATATCTATCAGTGGGTGCTTCCACATCATACTAAACTAATACCGGGTGAGCTCAAAAAGGTAACCCAAACAAATGTATGTTAATAACTGGTCATTCAGCATGGATTTACAATCATATTTCGCACAATTAAAACTTGTTCAATGTTCTTTCATTCTACTAAGTGTCATTGGTCTATCCCTAATAATCACAATTTTATGTTCATTTACAAAATATGCTCAAAATGCTGAAATGTGCCTCACTGACTGAACATAAATCCCACCAGCTTTTTATCTTTCTCCACCAACAACCCTTGAAACATTGAAAGAAGAGATAAGAAGGAAGGTGAGAGCCATAACACAAGGTGTTTATGCTTGTGTTGTGAACAACTGCACCCAATACCCAATACGTTAAAGTTGGCCTCCAGACGTGACGCCCATATTTTATGGGATGTTTTAAAATGGCCATAAAATCGTGACCAATTGAGATAGACCACTGAAACTTGGTAGAATGACAATATATTGGACAAGGCCTAATTGTGCCAGATATGACACAAAACTCATGCAGGATGACTAAGTTATTAAGAATTGTTAGGATTACCTTTTTTGGCTAATGAATGAAGGAAATGTTCAAGTTTAAGTACCTTTTTTGGCTCACCCTGTATTATCTCAAAATAGTCCATAATGAATGAAGGAAATGTTCAAGTTTAAGTACCTTTTTTGGCTCACCCTGTATTATCTCAAAATAGTCCATAATGAATGAAGGAAATGTTCAAGTTTAAGTACCTTTTTTGGCTCACCCTGTATTATCTCAAAATAGTCCATAATGAATGAAGGAAATGTTCAAGTTTAAGTACCTTTTTGGCTCACCCTGTATTATCTCAAAATAGTCCATAATGAATGAAGGAAATGTTCAAGTTTAAGTACCTTTTTGGCTCACCCTGTATTATCTCAAAATAGTCCATAATGAATGAAGGAAATGTTCAAGTTTAGGAATTTTCAAATGAAATGAAATTTTGATCGGCATTTTACCAACTATTCTGTGTGAGAATGTGTCACTTTAGTATGATGGGAGCTGTTCTTTAATGGGTTATTGATTTTGATTCCTAAAATATATTTCTGTTTTTCCTCTACTACTTCGTTTGATTCATCTTCATTTTGAATTTCAAGACATTCAATAAAAAGTCGTTTCAGATGTGTCCCGGCAAAAGGAACCGTTTTCACTTTCATTTTACCATTTTGGACACACCTTGATGCAAATGGCTTTCTAAATTCAGTTTGTTCTGCATAAATTAATGTAGATAACCGCTGTAGATTGCCTAGGTATTTCCTCTTATCTGACACATCATTGATTGTGTTTGCCATAATACCAATGAGCATATTAAACAACATGATGGTCATGAGGATTGTGTAGGCAATATAAAGGATAACGACAATTAACTCGTAGTCCACCTTCAAGGTTGAAAAATCTGCCATGCCGATCATGAGCCTATAAGTTGTCACTAGTGTCTCCCCAAAGTTACTCGCCTCTTCAGGTGGCCCACCTTGTTTATTTTTAAACATGACATAGAAACCTCCCCCGAAACCAACCAGATATCCAGATATAATAGCACAGAAACGAACAACATCGCCAAACAACATCTTATTGACAGTGACTGTAAAGAATGATGTATAATCAAGGCATCTGAAGTAGAATGTCATTGAGCAGAACCCAGCGATCAACTCCAACATAAATAAGATATCAACTTCAGGGTAGTTGAAATACACTGCAATGTTACCAAGGATGATTGACAGACTAAATAACAGACTTAGGAATATGTAGATTCCATTGCCAGTCACTGGGTTAGACATCCTTTGTACAAACTCACTGAATTGAAGCCCCCTTTGCTGTGATATAATTACCATTTTCATCAAGTAAAATAAGGTGCTTACAAATATTGATATTCCATATAATGTAAAAATGTTTTGGAATACAAATGTCACAGTACCTTCCGTTCCAAAGTAACCAAGTTCTTGAAGTAATGTCAGTGATTGGTTAAGCGCAGCTTGTTGAGCTGTAAAATTTGCCCTCAGTTCCTGACTTAAAGCACGCGTTGGTGTCATTATGATTCCTATGGTCATAAGAATTAACATTATAGCTTGAGTGATGAACATCCTTAGAAGACTGAACTTGTAATAGTCCCAACGAAGGTTCTGAATCGTAACCCATGGTTCCATGTGTAAAATGGACTGGAGCCTATTGAGGTTAGATGATGTACCAATCATGATGATTCCTGGAATAAAATCGGCTTTTCTCACCTCAGGGCAGACTTCCAGATCTGTGATATCATATTCAGTGAAGCGTGCTGGTCCGTATTGAACTTTTTCATTCTTTAGACTGGTGTTGATAATTAACTGGGCGAAGGACAGTTCACCAAGACGTAATGCATAAGACAGTGGTCTTTCATGTTGGGGTGTTTTGCAGGTTTTTATCAGTAAATGCTCAATAGCTACCTTGCCTCCTGTGGACCCAAAGATCATTTTGAAAACACTTGCAGCAAATTTAGTTCCACCTTCATGAGCTATGTTTACCAAGCAATGCAGCAAATTTTGACCATTTGAGTCTGTCATGTATAATGCCTCTGGGCAAATGGTTAATAGATATCTTATCATCTGGAGGTTACGAGTCCAACATGCAAGGAACAGAGGTAGTTCATGGCCCTGAAAATTAGTCTTTATGAATGAACCTACAGCCTGACTTGCCAGCAATGCCTTAAAATCACCACTGCTTAGCTTATCAGCAATGATCTTGATAATGTCTTGTCTGTCCTTTATAACGCAATCATGTAGAACTGTACCACCCTCTACAGGACCTCTGTTTCTATGATTGAACACTGATTCGTCACAATGAGGGAGTAATGTCTTTATTATTTCAAAGTTGTCCCGAATGACTGTACGTTGTAGGAGGTTGAATCCATTTCCATCCATTAACAATCTTTCATCCAAGAGACCTTTGATAATACCCTGGGATACCTGCTTTTCGAATGTGACCATGAATTTAGCAAACCCAGCTACATCATCCCTTGTCAAGGAGTCTGTTAGTTGATCTCTTAGCTCAGTCACTTCGTCAACTTCAGTATATGTTGTTGGGCTGACTTTAATCTTGATTGACATTTGGGAAGATAAGGATTGCTTGGAGCTTTTAAGTTTATCATTGTTTGATGTGTCTTCTTCTGCCGGGAAAAAAATCAGTTGTGGCTGCTTCTCTTCCTCCATGTTTATAATTTAGTAAGTTAGTTCCGAATTTTTTCATTTAACAAAGTTTAGACATTTTTATCTTGCTGCTGAAGTGATTCTGTTTTCTTGTATTGTTTCCTGTGTAACACAAGCCTTTTACAATATGACTGTTCATCTATAGTTTATAACATGTTAATGGTCTTCGATCATTTGATACTTGTTATCAGAGGTTTGCCCCACAGAACAAATAGCATTACATCCATGTCTTTAAATTTGAATTATAGTTTAATTGTAAGGTCATTTATGAAATATAGCTCATAGGTGTGCTATACATAGTCAAAATGAAGAGCAATTAAAAAGATCTTATATATACTTAGAACAGAATTGCTTAAAATAATGAAATAACCATCAATACAGTGCCATATTTTGGATATGGGTAAATAAAAATGGGTACCATATATGTAAGAATATTACTTACTTAACCAGAATATCTCATTAATCTCTTAGACACTGGCCAAAATACCATTGTTGCCTTAATGAGCTTTGCGTTAGTGTATCGGATGATAACCTGGGAGTTACACGTGGGGAAAACATGAAACATCTTAAGCCAGTTGAGTTATAAAAGAAATGTCAGTGTGGGACAAACATGGATTAAAGTATCAGTGTTTTCAACAATTTATGTGCATACTATATCAAAATCAGCTTATCAATTCACTTTTTAATCTCTTATCCAATTTGGGGTCCATATCCAAACTGAGTGACTTGCATATTTTAGTCATGCAATGACACATTGAGTGGAAAGTCACTGAACTAATGTGAAGTAATAATATAATGCATAGTGTAAGTGAATAAACACAAGGAGCACATGCGTCTCAAACTCGCAGCCAAATGCCATATGCCTCACCTGAATGTGCTGGTGCTCAAGTTCTCTTGGCCAACCCGACAACCCCAAAAAAGGTTGTTTTGTTAGTCGGGTAATATATTATTAGAGTATATATATATCTTTTGGTGATTCAATATTCATGTTATATAATTGACATATCATTCACTACATCTACACAAAACATTAACAAAAAATTACAACTACATCCACCAAAACTACTTTAAATCAGTTTCACATGTTACAAGTATAACAAAACATCAGTGTGCAGGTATGTCCATAATACGTAATACATGTACATGGATTTAACATGTGTGCATAATATAAATATTTTTGAAAGAGTGAATTATACTAAGTGTAAGACAGTTCATCAGGAATTTTGTGCTGTTTTTCCAACAACATTTCTCTGTATTCTAAGTTTTTTGTGCACTGATAAAATGAAGTGAATCTCAGTAGTGAAAAAGCAAATGAAAATGATATTTATGTTTTTCTTATCATTGCCAAATTTAATTCTATGTGTTGAATGCATTACTTGCAAATAAAACTTTAGATGATTCAATAACTGGAACTTACTAAAGGTTAGTGTTCAAAACACATTTATCTCATTGTGGATTGCAATCTCATTGTTTATTTTCTAAATAGAAACAGAAATACAAGTGAATATTATTTTGTTATTTTCAGCTTCAAAGAACCTGTTTCAACAAATCTGTGAGATCTTCACTCCCTGGGTGCAGTCATTTAACAACAATGGTCAGATCCTGTCCCCATTCGTTGATGCGGACTCCATACTTGCCAGTGACATGATAGCCATGTTCGTAGAGTCTCTGGAGTGCATGTGTACTCACTTTGATGGTACAGAAGTTTCTTCTATGACAGATTGAGAATTTATTTTTGTTAACAGTATTTGGAAAATATTATTCATAGCCTGACACTTAGTTATGTGCCAGTATATGTTTTCCTAGAGCTACAGTTTTTTTGTGAAATCAATAAGTGAATACCATCTTCTATTATTTTGGTCCTTAGCATGATTGAATTATGATTGTGACCCTCAAAACCGGTAATGAAAATTACTTGAAATGCAATATGAGTTGAAATGCTTATTATCCCATCACAGTCTGGAGGGATATAGAGATGCCTCCGTCCGTCCAATCATCTGTACATACGTCATTCCGTACATCTGTCCGTCCATCCAGCAATTAATCAAATACCGTTGGCCTGTTTATGTTTGTACTGTATTTTGTTACCCTATGGGGGTAGAAGTTCTGCTTGAATGCCAATTTTCAAAATGGCCACTCATTTAAAAATGGTGGCCATTTTAGTGCCAATTTTACAGTAATTTAGGTACAATATGTTAAACTTTGATAGCAATATCACACCGGAATAGCCTGACAACGGTAATGGCGGGCATAACCGTCGCTTCAATTAGATTTTCATGAACTGCATGTTTAGTGGAGCACCTAGACTAAATACCTTTGGAACAACAATCGATCAAAGTGTCTTAAAACTCATTGTACAGTTAATAATGTTCTAACATCGAAATAAAGTCTTTAATTTAACCAATCAAAATGAGATACGGGACAACGGACACTGTAATTACCATATGCCGTTGTCTTTCTGAATTACTCAAATTCAGACTCCGTTGTCATTGACGATATCAAAGACGCTATATTGTGGCGATTCAGGACCTAATTTGATCGAAATTGGGATTTCATATGAAACATCATCACAGGAGCTTAATACATACACAGAATTAGCGACGATAAAAACCCATGAAATGAGGACCAAGTGATTAAACAGTTGAAGTGACAGTTATGTCTGCCATTTGTGACAACATTATCTGACTTTACCGTTGTCAGGCTATTGAGGTGTGAATATGTTTTAAATGTCAAAAAATTATATAGGACATTAATATAGCTAGAAATGTAGATATCGAAGAAGCACATGGCAGCCATCTTGAAAAATGGTGGTGTTTACGTGCTATTTTATGAGTTTTGCTGTAACTGGAAAAGTAGTGGAGTGATTTTGTTCATATTTTGTATGTGAATACTCTAAGCATGTCACACTGTCTAATAACACTTTTGGTAGAAGGCCGCCATTTTGAAATACGGCCTCCATTTTAACGTGTTTTTTTTCTATAACTCAAAAAGTAGTAGACCGATTTTGTTCATACTTGCTATGTGAATACTATAAGCATGGCACACTGTCTTATGGCACTTTTGGTAGAAGCTGGCCATTTTGAAAAATGGTGCCAATTTTAACATTTTTTACTATAACTCAAAAAACAATAGAGCGGTTTTGTTCATATTTGATATGTGAATACTCATAAGCATGGCTCTCATCAACCATTTTGAAAATTGTGGCCATTTTTTATGTGTTATTTTACAATTTTTGCTATATACTTTGTAAAAATGCCAGACATGGTTGTTTGATGGGATTTGCTACACTTTGGCGTTGCTGTTGTCTAGTTATGAACTATTTTCAGATTTGATATATGTCCCCAGCCAAAGGTGCCTATCCATGTTCTGGGCCTATTATGTGGCATCATTAGTGCAACCAGGGACCCCAGAACATGTATTACAGGGGCTACATGCTAAGTTATCAACTCTACCCTGGAATAGGTATCATCCTGACCTACAGGGCTTAGAACTTATGTTGAAGGTACTTGCAATTTTTGTGTTCAGAATTTTACATTGATTAAATATCATGATATTAAACTCCTTTGTTTTTATTAAGTTTGAATTTTGTTGATTCCATTGAAATGAACAAAACCGTAAATTCTAAAACGATGATTTGATATAAAATGAAATTATCACCCTTTTAATCATATCTCTACATATATATTCAATGTTTATCAATTTTAGCTAAAAGAAAAGAACCACCGGAGTTGCTTCACCTTTCTTGGATGTATCTTCACACAGATGCCCTGGGAAAATACCATGGAGAGCCTCATTTCCAACTCTCCACCAGAGGTCACTGCTAGCTACATGGTGTGCCTATTTCAGCTGTTTGTCAAATTATCAAAGGAGAAATCCATTATGGAAGTACAGGTGAGGACAATTCCATGTACCTCTGAACGCAGAGAGCACATTATATTATTGTTTTTGAAACCACTTTCCCTTAATCTTTTTCAATTTCAAATCTTTTTCAATTTAAAATCTATTTTTCTCTCATGTTTTCCTTCAGTTCCCTGTTTTAGAAAAGGATAACATCAGCAGCAGCTTTTAGAGAAACCTGTTAAAGTTATAATTTTCACTAAATGTTGACTACTTTCAGACATTCTACTACCCTGCTGATTTTGTTGTTCTCTTCATTTCCAAGAAATTGACAGGCATGCAAGTTCAGATTAAGCTTTACAAGATCCAATTGATTTTTTTTCAGAATCCAGAGTTGCCAAACTTGATTGTGAAGGCTGAGAGTTTTCCATGGCACTATATCACCTCATGGGATTATGATGTCACAATAGACTGGCTGCTACATAACTGTGATAGTCGATGTGTGCTGCTTGCACAAACTGCTGATGCTGCTAGAATTCTTGGGTATGTACTTTATGTATAAATGGATGATGTATGCAGTATTTTAAGAATGTTAAAACTGATGAATTGAAATCCATGGTGCAACTTTGACGACATGTTGAAAAGTTCATTCATAGATTTTTCCGTAACCGGAAGCTGAATCCTTGTTTTACCCATTTTTGGTTAATCTTGAATTTTTTCTTTCTTTTTGACAGGTCGTTCAGATTTTCTACTGGGTTGGATGTAATTTTCAGATTTTCAGTGGTGCAGTACTCTGTTGCTCTTATGCTGGAATAGCTCTTATATTTATTAACACATGTGCGATAACCAAACTTTAAAATATTTATTTGCACAAGTCTGTTCTTATCATTTCAGGTTAATAAAAATTGCAGGCAGTTTCAACTCAGGGACCATGGTTACAAGTCCGGACACTGCTGCTAAACGCTGTACATACGTACGCTGTATCATTCAACTGCTCTGTCAGTGTTCTCACCTGAGTGACGTAGATACATCAGCGTTCACTGTTATCATAACAAACCTTTTAACTGAGATAGAAACAGTTGCAGGAAGTATCACATCTATTGCTGAACAAATGGAACAGTGTGTCAGTCTGACAGTTGAAGTGTTGAATATTTTGAATAACTGTAATCCAGAAAGTGAGGTGTCTGCAGTCATAACAAAAACTATCACATATTGGATAGGGTCGTCACCAAGTTCGCTGTTGTTAATGCCATTGATAACTTCAGCTTGTCGCACTCTGGCCAATGTTTCTAATATGGCACATATTATAGAAGCTTGCATGGATGCAAATTTTCACATAGGTAGGTGATGACATATCCTATAGTCCACAACTTGTTTATGGTTGGCGGTTTGATAAACAAGTCACTGGCTCATGGTTTTGTAAGAATGATCCACTAACAAAGGTGCTTCCCTATATTCCACCAGACAGGTTTCACTGTATATTGTTAATTATCATGTGAATTCTGATCAACAGAAATTCCATACACAAGTGTGAATTGAATTTATTATTTCAGGTGCTCATTTAGGTGCTGATGGAGGATGGGGTCCGATTCTGACAATGCTACAAGTGCCTGAACTGAGCCTGAATGACTTTCTGCAAGAGTGTCTCAAACAGGGCTGCTATCTTACCCTCTATGCTTACATACTACAGAGACTGCCATTCAGTCAGAACCTAGGACATGAACTATCTCATATCACTAGCTTGGTGGAGTGGACTAGTCAAGCTAAACCAGGGTTGGTATTCTAGCCTACAGGCCTATATGAAATGGTCATGCCTTGCTTTGTTATGGGCCAAATATATCAGGATGTCCCATGGAGGCTAAGAAGTTAAAATAACATGTTTATAGTAGGGGTCCTGCGATTCATCGATATATCGATGCATCGGCTCGTTTGGTGATGATACGAGCGTATCGATACGAAGACTCAAATATCGATACACCAAAAATATTATTAACATACCTGAAATCCATCATATTTTGCCGAAATCAACTGAATATTTGACTTTTTTGAGAAATTGTTCTTATATTTTTTGTTTGGTTTCTCGCTGGACATGACACGCTCAAAATGGTGTATAAATGCGAACAGAATGCTTAGCGGATTGACAGTCAAAATGCGAACAAATAAGTTGTGTCTTCTTTGTCTTCGTATATCAACGTACTTTGTTTTATAATTATTCTATATACTTTTTGACAATTTAGTATGAATAAATATAATCTTTGAACTTTTTATTCGATAGAACGCCCCGTTAAAAAATTGCCTACTAATATTGATAACTCTAATAAAAAAACGAACAATATTTACGTTCGGAGTATTAATCTTGACCGGAGTTTAGAAATTGAATCTTTTGAAAACAATTGATAGAATTATGGCCGTGTAAATATCAAACATGGGTAGTTGTGATATCCTAATACGGCCCCTTATAGAAAATCTACTGTAGTACTTTGTAACATTCCTCAGTAAAGGGAAAGCACAGCCGGACTTCAAAAATATTGCAAAATATGCATAGCTGGCTAATCTACTATACAGCAGGTAGGCTCGATACTTGACAATAGTTTTTATGCTGCATCTTAATCAAATGTCACAGCAAGTGATAGACTTTCAACTCGACCTCAGCTACATCAGTTTTGCACCCCCTCCCCCGGTTCAACTACACTATTATGTATCGTATCTTTGCTCATATCGTGACCTGAGTATCGAGATACGTATCGTATCGTTTCATAATGTATTGTGGGACCCCTAGTTTATAGTATATAACAGTTGCTGAGTATGAGTGAAGTTTTTTTCCCATGAATTTATTCATTTTTACAATGCTGTTTCAATTTGAAACTTTTATATACATCTATGGACCAAAAATCAATCAGTCAGAGTCAAAAATCAATCAATCCATTTCCAGGAGTGCTAATGAGAGTAAGCTGTTCCTTTGGTGGGGAAAAGTTCTTGAACTCTTGATGAGGCAGCTGGACTTTGGTGAAGACCCGCGATCTGTGATACGAGCACTATATAACTTTGTACCTGCACTTGTGACCCTGGGGGAAGACAAGGCATCTACTGGACTACTTGGTGCTATAGGGCTGGGACGTAGATCTACTCTCTCATTTAAGTAAGTCAAAGAAATGGAGAGGAGAAAGCAAATTCATCTGACCTGATTCAGGCTGATTTGAAGCAAGGAAATAAGAACACTGAATGTGATACTAGTATAGGGTTAAAATGAAAGTTTTGAAATGAGTTTGTATGAAAAAATGTTATTATCCAAGTACATCATCATCATTTTGTTCACCAAAATATTCATAAAAATTCCAGTATAACATGTATTAGCAAATGTTGTATCCCTAGTTTTAAGTGTTGTTTTAATAGGTTTCAAATCTGATGTCTGTTCATATATTTCCAGGTTTAGACTTACAGCTCGTGCATTCTCGACATTCCTTATTTGCCAGATTCCTAACAAATCATTCCTACGTAGCAGCCCCCATGCTCCAGGTAGTACAGCAAAGATATTTATTTATTCACATTTATAAAGTAATATAAGACGTAAAGAATATTTATAATAGTTGAAATGATTAATATCAACCAACTTGTAGAAAGCTGGGTTTGACTCAACCCAATGTTTGTTTCTCATACTCCAGGTGCAGTAGTTGACCCAGCCAGACAGTCAAATAGATCTCCCCAGAAAATTTCTCCAAGTAGCCAAGCCTTCCAAGCAGTTGCCAACCTAGAATCTTTAAAAAACAACAAGAGCTATGCAGACCTGAAACAGCATGTAGAGTTTGCATTGGGATTTGTGTCAGACCCAAAACATTGCATAAGAGATGCCAACAGACTTCTCCAGCAACTTGTTGTTGTTTTGTTTCCCGATAATACATATTTGGACATACTCAAAAGGACTTGAGACCTTTCTGCTCTATGTCACGTATAGGGGACTCTGTTCCCTTCCAAGTTTTAAGAGATCCCTATGCAAGAATTGCCCCCCCTCTCCATAATATATCACGAAATATTCCTGTAAATTTCAAATCGAGTGGTTTGTCTGGAAAGTGGAAATGATCAGACAAGAAAAGTGAGACACTTCACAGACAATGCCTGCCAAGCTGACAATTTTGGTAAAAATTGAATCTTTAGCAAAAGTCAATGTACAATATTTAAATATAAACCTAAAATTACATATTTAAATATAAACCTAAAATAATCGTAGGACCAGGTACAATTACAGATTAAAGGAGCAGCAAAGATGAGAGATGAGTTTAGAGCAAGTTAAGGAAAAAATGTCACATTTTACAATAATTAAACATCATTCCATGTCATATGCATATTTTCTAAAATGTGCAACAGTTCTGACTGTATTTCAAAGTATCCATTGTTTGTAAGGATATCTGACAAAAAGATACACAAAAAACTGACTCAAATGATTGAATGAATTTAGACATTTCAAATCTTCAGTAAATCTATACATCTATTCTCAATTCAATTTGAAACATTTGCTAGAATTTTACACTCCACCTTTAACGCTCTCCTGTCTTTGCTGCTACTAAAAGATATTGGCAATGAGTCATTCTGAGGTGCAGTTTAAACATTTCATTGCAACATAGATGTGCTGCTTGATTTTGTTATTAAAAAGTGCCATATTGATATTCATTGACTTTTTACCAGTTTATTTTGATGGCTGTAGTTTAATAAGTGAGTAGGCTACCGCCACTGCCCTACATTTTTATCTATGTTCACTGTATACTTTGTGGTAATAGTGAAATTATGATACAACTTAGCTTATTATGAAAGCATAATTTAACATATTGTTATTATTTGCACAAAATAATGTATTTAAGAAATTTTAATCACACTTATTATAATTTCAAATGGCTCATTCTATCATACAGGATTTATAGTTTCATATTTTAAAAAAAGTATGTTATTATTAAAAGGAACTTACTGAACCAATAAAATTCTGTACAACTGAAAAATTAAGTTATTTTTATGTACTTTATTGAGAGAAGAAACCACTCGAGGCAACATATGGAAACCACCAAAAAATTCCAATAATTCTCTTCAAAAGCAAAAAATCATTAAAAACAGCAATTTTGATATTTTACAGAAAAAAGTTTATGCCTCTAGCAAATTTTGCCGAAGGTGCAATTCACAAATCACGATTATCTGTAATAATTTTAGCTCACATCGTGAGCTTTTGCAATCACTCACTTGTCCATCTGTTTGTGCGTGCGTCTGTCCGTCCTTGCGTCCGTCCATCAACAATAGTGGCTCATTTTAAAACCTCTGTCGATAGGATTCCTGTTTTAAGTTATTTCTGTTCAACATCAATACAAAAAACTCCTTTATGACTCCTGGTTCAAAAGCTCGCCTATTTTCAAAATGGCCACCATTTTTTTGTCTCGCGAAATCCACTTTTGGACCATTTGCCTTAAAACCTCTGTCGTTAGGATTCCCGTTTTAAGTTATTTTTGCTCAACATCAATACAAAAAACTCCCCTATGACTCCTGGTTCAAAAGCTCGCCTATTTTCAAAATGGCCGCCATTTTTGTTTCGCGAAATTCACTTTTGGCCCATTTCCTAGCTTTACAAATAATTTCAGGTGTCCTAAATTGTAAAAAGCCATGTCACTGTAAAGAGTAGTAGTATGAAATAATTTTGTTACAAAAAATCGGCAAAAAATCATATCCGTTTTTTATTTCAGCCATTTTACTTAACATTGATTTGTCCATCTGTCTCTCAGTCAGTACAAAATAGTGGCAAGTTTTAAAACCTCGGTCTGTCAACACTTGACTCTTTTTAAATCCTCTGTACATGTAGATAGGATTCCCGTTTTAAAATATTTTTGTTCAACATCAATAAAGGAAAAAAACCTGTGACTGCTGCTTCAAAAGTTCGCCTATTTTCAAAATGGCCACCATTTTTGTCTCAGGAAATTCACTTTTGGCCCATTTCCTAGCTTTACAAATAATTTCAGGTGTCCTGCATTGTAAAAAGCCATGTCTTTGTAAAGAGTAGTTGTATGAAATAATTTTGTTACAAAAAATATCTTTTTTTTATTTTCTGTAATTTTTTCAGCCATCATTCACACCATGTGAGCCCAGTACCCACTGTACTATTTATTTTATGATCAAATTTGAGGTTTAAGCCACTGTAAGAGCCAAAATCCCTGATTGAAATAATGCAAGCTCATTAAAAAACAATGATAGGTTACATTACTTACATTGATATTTTATTAGCTGATGAAAATAACTGACATGACATGAATAATATATAAAAGCAGGAAACATTTGAATTATAGTGTAATGTTATAATGGAACAGCTATTATGAAGGCATGTGCACATTACAGCTCTATCTTCTTTGTACATATTCTTAATACATAGGCACTTGAACCCTTCGCCCTAATCCCCACTGCCAGAATAGAGAGCAGAATAGCCCAACTCTAGCATCAACAATGATGGATGTCACATATTATACTTGTCTCCTTAATTAATCTACTGGATAAGCTTAACTTACCAATTTTGACAAAATGCAATTTCATTTTCTGTATTTCACCTTTAAAAGAACCTTTGTAAGTGAAGCACCAAAGTTGTTCCACTTACAAAAGGTTTTACTGTACTTGAACTAATTGATATATACACAATCACAGAAAGCCAACACAGAGTACATATAACAAACTAATACACATACAGGGTGTCCAAAAGTAACTTGACTTGTCCTCCTTAGTTCATACAACACTGATGGTGTTCAGATTATAACTCTAACAATGCTTCATAAATTATTTTAAAACGTTGTACTTCTAGTCTCAATACATAAAAGAATATAACGGGAACATTCGAACATAATTTGAGCAGAATTAACAAAATACCAGCACTAGTATTATTATTACTTTTGGGACACCCTGTAGTCTGTGCCATCTTAGGACTCACATTTGTACTGCTATGTTGTCTGACCATCCTATGGTATCCTGCTTAATCTCTAGGATTACACAAGTATATTATTCCCAATAACATAATGTTATCATTTCTCAGATTAACCATATTGTTCAAATAATACAACGAAACATGAAGGCCATTTTAACATTGTTGAAGATGATAAGAGAAATAACAAGCAAGCTCATTATATGACAGCATCTGCATGGTGGCCCAAGTTAAAGTTATAATGTATATGTCTTTAATTTGGCAAGCGTTTTTAATTGGCCAATCAAAAAACTCCCCAAATTAAATAGTCGCCAAGATCCTTGGAAATATGACATGTTTTTTATTTGGTGCACAAATATTGAAGAAATTGTTCATCAACAACACTAACAATGATTATCTTGTATTGGGTAGAATGGGAGGATGTCTGGGACACTTCAAAAACCACCAAATTAAATAGATGCCAATAGGCCCAAAAACAGAAAATCGCCAAATTAAGAAGTCCTAAATTAAAGACAAATACAGTATTCTGTATAGCAGAGAACATGAAAAATGACCAGTTATATAAAATATCTTGAACAGTGAAACCTCTGTTAGTAGAACACTTTTTAGAGTCCCAAAACCAACTTACTTAATGTTAAATGAATCTCTTTAAGTGGAACACCTCCCAAGTAGAACACTTTTTAGAGGTACCAATGGTGTTTCACTTAATAGACAAGTTTAACTGTGCATGTAGTTTTTAATGAGGAGTTCAATTATACAGCAGTCCCTCGTTCCAGATTCTGTTTGATCTCTGCAGTATGACTGCCATAGAATCTTTCAAGTTTCTTGTTGAATTTCATGTTTCTCTCATTGATATAATCAATATCATCATCTTCATCATGTGCTCTACGACGGCTAAATTTGGCCCTCTTAGCTTGTTGTTTGTCAATATCAGTGACAAGTTTATCAATGGCCTCCTCTGAGTCTTTGTGACCTCCTTTCGCAACACCCATAGTATCAACACCAGGGTAAAATGCTTCTCCAAGTTTTTCTTTTTCACGTGTGTACTCATCCTTATCTGGCTTTATTTGCTTGGTTAGTCCCTGGTATTGCCTAAAAGTGGCAGCTTCATAATCTGAGAATCCTTGGTCAGGATTCTTCTTCTTTTTCTTTTTCTCCCATTTCTCTGCATCATCGGCTCCAACCTCACGAAGTCGGACCCTGTCGAAATCTTTTCCCTGTTCTTTACACTCCGCTTTAAGCTTTGCTTCATCTGACTCCCATTCAAGACGTCGCCGTTTTTGGTCCCAGTTGGCAGGGAGTTTATTTCTTTGGTCCTCTTCAACAACTTCTTGGTGGTTCAGCTTCCTGGCTTGATTCCTCTTCATCTGTAGCTCCTTTAGTTTATTCATCCTTTCTTGTTTCTTCATCTCCGCTGCGAATGCACTTTTACTTGAACCAGCAGCAGCTGACATGATGTCTGTTTCTGGGGATATGTTCTAAACAATTATAGTTTTAGATAGTTTCTATAATTGTTTTTCACACCACTGTTATTGGTAATCAGTTCACATTAGTGATGGAGTTGTATTAACGACACAAAGTAGCTCCTTGTTTAACTGAAATAACAAAAAGACTATAATTTAAAATAACTATAATGGCTTAAGGTGGTTTTATTGTCACATTCAAAGGTATTACTATAAGAGCTTTCGGAAAGTTCATATAAACAAAGTTAATATAAAACTTTGTAACTTTCTTCAACAAACATATCGATATACATGTAATATGAGGTTATATAATGGTTCTTTCTGTATATCGTGTTTATACTCGAGTGAGTATATGATATATTCGCAAGTGAGCGTAGCGAACGAGTGAATATATTATATTCTCACGAGAGTATAAAATTCACGATATACAGAATGAACCATTATATAATCTTATTATGCCACTTTAAGTTCAATTACAGTTGATTCGAACACAATCATAACAATTAAAAACCATAAAAATATCCCATAGCCAACTCAATAATGCTGATGTTGATCTTGAACCATTTATGACATTGCTTGATTCTAGCAAATCATGCCGGAACCATTTATGACGTCACTTGATTCTAATAAATCATGAAAATGTTCATGATTTTTTTATTCATCAGTTCCCAGAATGCACTTCTACAGTGGTATACGCTGGAGTGTATACGGAGGAGTTGTATACGATGACGATATACCACTCTCCACTGTATATCGTTGTTATAGACCCATGTTATACAACTGTAATTGGACTTAGAGTGGTATAATAAGAATTATATAAAAGTAACCTTTTTTAATGTTGTATATAAGAATCTCATTAGGATTTTTAGTTCAAAAAATTCCAGAAAATTATTAATGAATGAGGCTATAAAATAGATTATTGTATTTTTTGTGTGTGATTTAATTTCACCCTATTCCTGATTATGGTTTTATCGCGAAAAATAATTAAATCCCAGGGGATTTTTTAAAGGACATGTCTCGGTTTGGAGAACAGTTTCCTGGGCTAATAATTTTTTTATGAAAAAATATAGAAATATCACCCAAATTAAATTATGAATATTCAAAAGAAAACATTTAAATCTACAAGATGTAAAAATACCGAAATTGTCCGAAGCAGGTGTAACATGCAGTACACCGATCCAATAAAAAACAAGTCTCGATTTGGAGAAAGAAGTTCATCAGTGTACTGCACTTATAATTTTTTTATGAAAAATATAGAAATATCACCCAAATTAAATTATGGATGTTCAAAAGAGGACATTAGGACATTAGGAAAATGTAAAATGTTGGTCCAGTGTTTGTGGGCGATAAAAGGGATACAAGCAACAATATTTCTTGCATCACGGTGCGGTACTCAAGCAAGCTGTGTGCCTACTTAACCATAAATTGATCTAGCAATTAGCAGAAATGGAAAATACTTTGCTCAGTTCTCATGTAAAATACAAAATATTCCGATTTAAATCAGAAGATCACAAGATAAAATAGAAAAAAAATATTAGTTAAAGAGAGTTAAGGAAAACACAGAATGAAATCCTGCGCCTATTCTAGCCATAAATCACAAACTGTGTGCATCACTAAAAGTCAATGGTAAATTTCATATCCCCCATTTTGTTGAATCCTTTGATTTGATTGGTTACCTTAAAAACAATATGGCTGACAAGGAAGTATAAAAATAATATAAAATTGATTAATCTTAAAAATGTGATTTATCTGTACAGCTCCTTTAATTCAAATGCCGAATATATCAGGCAAAAGTGTAGCAAAGCAAGAAGTTAAGACATGATTGCGATAAATAACCCCTCCTATTTTCATGTTAAAAATGTGGGGTGACACCGTAATTGAAACAAAGGTTATTTCTTCCGGTGCACATCGCACTGACCAATCAATTGATCCTAATCAATGGATCAGAGCGTAATCTGGCAGAGAATCGTCAATTGAAATTTTCCACGCCAATTCTAGCTATAATTCATTCTATTCTACAATAAATACTGCATATGTATGATAAAAGATATTATAACATACCTATGATGATGTATAGTGCAAAGTGTACACAAGACAGCGGGCCAATATAAGTTTTGAAAAGCCCGCGCCCGCTAACTTTCTGATTGGTCAAGGCACTGACGTCATAACCAATCAATCGAAGATAAAACTGCGCGAGCAATTTCTCTAAACTCATTTCAATCATTTTCAAACCATTTGTTTGTCAATTCTATAAGAAAATGGTGCTCTCTGACCAGTCTACATCATCATAGATATGTTATAAATCGTTTATGTCACTATCGTGGCACATATGCCCTCGGTTCTCAGAGATCAATGTCCCTCCCAAGGTCGGGCCATATATCACTGAGACCTCGGGCATATATGCCACGATAGTGACATAACCTCTAAATATCAGATGTAAGTAAAAGGTGTATTTCAAAATATAAGACCGACATTTATGTTTGGAATTATGACATTTGAGATCAAAAAATGCAAATTACTTTGAGGTTAATTTTCCATTGAATTTTGGTAGTGTGCATACTTTTCAAACTGTATGCCTATCATTGGACTTGGATGGGAGTTGGACAACTTGGATTCAGACCAAACCCATTAACGGATGTCGGCAAGGGCAGATTCAGATCTATAGGTAGTGACAAAACTGCAAGCAACATGTACTATTGATCAACTAATCTATTCCTTACGATCATCTCGACCACAATATCTCCCAAAAGATCCGCAATATGTTGTAAAATGGTGACGTTTGTAATTTACGTAAATCTAACACACTAGTTAAAGATAATCCAATTTATCCATTCTTTATATGAGATCTATATCGTACCTAGATTAGACGACAATATTCCTAAATTTTGAAATTGACAATGAATTCACACAGAGACATGTAGCACTATGATATGAGATGAGCACTATGATAGGCCCTATAGTATAATAATAAGGGTAATAACACTTCACTACTTCCGGGTTCTGTAAATGAAAAAAAAACAAAAAAACTGTTGTTCAGAATTCCACAATAAGGGTCTCATTTTTAAGAAAAATTATTTAGCGGCAACATACATGTCATTATATAACTTGTAGACACGCTGCAAATATGATTTTTTCGTCTTATCTGTTACCTTAGCATCAGACCATGAAGTCCTCGACAGACATATTTTTCATAGTTTACCTTATCAATCGATTTCTCCCTCAATGTTTCGTCGATTGATCTCTGGTTTGATCCAGTTGTAATACACACATACGCAATAGTATACGCTGTTCCAATTTTACTATTATTGTTCAAAAATGTGTAAAAGCATACTAATTTTAAAAATACGACTGTTGAACGATCTGCCGCGATCTTGAAATAATGACGGAGTAAACTTGACCCGTCTGACCTTTCACATTTCATTTTTAAAACGGCAAAATAACATATTTTTACAGGCTGAACAGCATAAGCGCAGCATCCCTACAAATCTCTAGTGGGTAAAGGATTCTACGAGTAAAGGACAAGTTAATTGGCGAAAGATTTGGGGAGAAATCGCTATAAAGGTGAGTTTTGGTTGGACAGCACCTAACGGTCTTAGCATGGGTATCAGAAAGTAAAGAAACTTTTTTATTTAAATTTATCTAAATGTTAGGCAGTGACATTTATCTTACAGAAGAAAGATTTTTTTTCAAAATGAGACCCTAATTATAAAATTCTGACCAATAATTCATATATTTTTTTTACTTCCAGTTTTCGAAATTTGTCGGCGTTATAATACTTCTCTATATAAAGCATATCAGTCTCCCATATCAGGCAGCCCCATATCAGTCATCATAAACGTGCTACTTACTCCCGTCGAGAGCTACTTAGATTTTGAAAGTATAGCTCTCTATCGCTAGAATCAACAGCTTAAGAATCCTGACTTCAAAGAAAATTTCAGGGAATTCAGCTGACTCATGTTGCACATTATATACCTGAAAATGTATCCTACATCGCCATCTTTCATTCAGCTCAACTATAGAACGTCTCACTGCCCTATGTATCGATCAGGACTTCATTTTATTGGTCCTGTCAAAAGTTTTGGCCAGGTATATTCAATATGGCGGCTTGACGTTTCCCAAGTTGCGCATGCGTCGATAGTATTTCCGTTTAACCGCCATATTGGAAATGGGTATCGAACAAAAAACGATTAGAACTCCTGATCGCCATAGAAGCACATCCGCGATCCTACATGCACGGGGAAAGTAGACACATATGAGCCCATATGTAGGCTACAGTTTGAGACAAACAGCAAGCCGTTGACTGGCGCTGATCAAATTAAGATGTCACAATTCTTCAGCTGGGAGATCCTCACGATGGAGAGCTATACTTTCAAAATCTAACATGGTAGCTCTCGACGTGAGTAACGTGCTACAAGATCCTGTGTGAAATCAGAAGAAATGAATTGAAAAAATTGATAAAAATCATTCTATCATTTCTGCTCACATTTTACATTCAACCACAATATAAACTTACCTATGTAATCTAGTATATATAGAATTACAACTTAACAGCATATTACTGGATACAACTCTACCCTATGACTGATATTTGAGAAAATGTAGACAATTTACGAAATTTGTTTTCAACCGGAAGTGTAAAAACAATGGAGAAATTCCGAGATTTCAAACGAGAAATGCGCCATTTTCAAAGTTTACATTGGTGATAATTTTTATTTAGACTATATTATTGCATTTTGAGACGTATTGAATGTTTTTAGCTCTATTTGAAAATACATAATAAATTTAAAATATGGAGGATTCAGAAGATTCTTTTGTGATTACAGGTAAGCAAAACTATTCATCAAAAATCAAAACAAATAAAATTTCTTGAAAAATAAAATAAAATTTAAAAATAGCTCTAGATCTAGCTCTACAATTTCGAGTTTGGAACACAGGAACCTGTATCACGAGCTTCTATTCTTTCCCAGGAGGCCACCAATCGATGTCAGGTGTTGATGCAAGTTCAAGTTTGGAACAAAAAGAATGACATGGATTTGCTGAAGTGAGGATTTCCCATGTTAAAAATAAGAGAATTTTCAAGAGGTCATACATCAGTGGATGAGAGTATACAATATGTAAAATATACAAATTTTAAGGGATATGTATCTAGACAATATTTGAGACTATATGGCTTTCAAAACACCATGGTTTGGATATGGTGATAGAAAATCCACCTGTCATTTATTTTGTTCCAAACGCTAGGCTATGCATAGATCTATAATTTCGGCATCACCGAGGACTAGATTGGGTAGAACTAGAACAGTGACGGCTCTTGCCATAAATCAGTGTTCATATATCGATATCCTTGTAACAATAACATGGTCATGAATGTGTTGAGTGGTCCATTATAACGGTGCTATCATGTCCCAAACTATTTCAGAGCCTAAAGCATCCAGGATTTCACTGCACATGATTGGTCAACGGCATTTACCACCAGGTTCAAAACAATGGCCTTATGAGCAAATGTAAGTATATGTACACACATATCATTATCCACAAGGCAATGAGCTCCCTAGCATTAGAGCAACCATGCACTGCATAATGTACCATTGAAAATATGTAGTCTTGCTTCAAGTCCTTTTGATCCCCCAATACATGCCTCACTTCTACACAGGTAAAACAGATTAGATGTGGGGGGCAATCCAATAGGATTGGTGCAAGACTAAAAATCTGAAATTCACATGCTGTGCTGTTAAAAATCTGTTTGCACCCTACCAAAAGTGTGAAATAGTAATATTTAAAAAAGTGAGATGATATAAATGATTGATATCTGATGGCATGATATAGTTGATACATTAACTATGGCCTTTGAATATGAAGTATAATATAGTGAGCTAGATTTTGTATCCTAATTTCAAATGTCATCAAGTGAAAAAAAAATTCTGATTTAACCCCTCTCTTACTTTCATATTTAATCAAATTGTAACAAATTAATATATTTTGTATTTTAGTGTTGAAGAGCTTAACAAGATCACCCACCTAAGGCTAGACAGGGAACATATAGCTGAGATTGATGGGCTAGAACTACTGGGGAAGTCAATCACAAATGTATATTTACAACAGGTATTTTCTAAAGTTTATTAGATAAATACTGTAAATATATAACCAATGTGTTGACACTAAAGATTTGACATTTTCGTCATAAACGGATATTGAGTTCTTACTTAATTAAGATAATGGGCAAAAAGCTCCATGCGATGTTAAATAGCATAATAGACTATGATTGAAATGATGCAAGCTCATTAAAAAACAATGAGAGGTTACATTACTTACATTGATATTTTATTAGCTGATGAAAATAACTGACATGACATGAATAATATATAAAAGCAGGAAACATTTGAATTATAGTATACAGAGTGGTCCAAAAAAGTGAACCCTTGGAACAAGCTATTTCTCAGTTATTACTTGCATTAATGATTGATCATAAACCAGGTCAAAATAAATTGTTCATTGAGAATTTAAGAGTTCACTTGATTTAAATTCCTGATACAGTTGTACATATTGTAGCATACGTATAAAACTATTCATACTTTCAGAACCAGATAAAGGTGATTGAGAACCTGGAATGTTTGGAAAATCTCAGCTTTCTGACACTTGCGAATAACAAGATACAAAAGATAGAAAATCTGACTCGGCTTCCTAAATTAGCATTTCTTGACCTGTCTGAGAACAACATTACAGATTTTGACATAGGTGAGGAATTCTATTCATAAGTGCTATAGATAGAAAAGTGACAGTTCCCAGTTCCATCTTTAGTGAAAAATACAAATCACAATTAAAGGGAAACAAAACAAATGTGAAATCATATGAGCAAGAAAGTTGCAAGATGTGATAAAGTAACAACAATGTATGAAGATTATGTAGGCACTCATCTATGTTATAAAGTGATCTTGTCAAAACTTAATATTCCATTTTTAATATATATACATGTACATGTACTTCATATAACAATAATACAGATGGAGTAGAAAGAACTGATGCCAACTACATAAAGATATTTGTACTATTTAGTTTATCCTTACACTCACATGTATAGAAAATTGAATTCTCTTTGGTCTATCTAAAGATTTGTTGTTTGATTTTTACTTCCAGATGAATTACCACAAACTCTAGTCATCCTAAACTTAAAAGGAAACCCCTGTATTAAAGTTCCAGATTATAGGTACTGTGTAAAGTATTTTTTGAACCAAAAATACAGTTAGTGAAATAATTTGATTTTAAATTGCAAACAGATGAAAATAAACAATTTATTATATAATGGAGGGACTACAACTGGAAGAAAACAAATACAATCATAATCATTATTCTCCAGCATCTTTAGACATTTTAAATATTAACATGTTATATATGTGATTTATGAAATGTTTCTTTCAGAGGAAGAATCATTCAAGACCTGCCAAAGTTGAGACAACTTGATGGGGTTGATATAACAAAACAAGATCGTAGAGATGTTGGCTACAGTGTGTCCAGTAGCAGCGAGGATGAGGAAAGCGAGGAAGAGGAAGAAGAAAATAACAGAATGTCACAATGTAAGTTTTATTATAGTCTTGCATCAAGCCTCTGTGTTTTAACCTCCCCATTTCTTCTGATACACTGGTTGAAGAAACAGTAGGGGGAGGGGGGGGGGCAGACTGATTTGAGATTCATGGTGATCTTGTATGAAAATGAAACAATGAATGTATACAAACCCAGAAAAGCAGGTGCTTCAGGGACCAGGTTTCATCTTGGTATAACTGTCTTCATATGGACTATAATGCACAACTTTGTGACAATATATCATTAGAATTAGGTTTTATCTTGGAATAACTGTCTTCATATGGGCTATATAATGCACAACTTATGACAATATATCATTAGAATTAGGTTTTATCTTGGTATAACTGTCTTCATATTGGCTATATAATGCACAACTTTATGACAATATATCATTAGAATTAGGTTTTATCTTGGAATAACTGTCTTCATATGGGCTATATAATGCACAACTTTATGACAATATATCATTAGAATTAGGTTTTATCTTGGTATAACTGTCTTCATATTGGCTATATAATGCACAACTTTATGACAATATATCATTAGAATTATGTTTTAACTTGATATAACTGTCTTCATATGGGCTATATAATGCACAGCTTTATGACAATATATCATTAGAATTAGGTTTTATCTTGGTATAACTGTCTTCATATGGGCTATATAATGCACAACTTTATGACAATATCTCATTAGAATTAGGTTTTATCTAGGTATAACTGTCTTCATATTGGCTATATAATGCACAACTTTATGACAATATATCATTAGAATTAGGTTTTATCTTGGTATAACTGTCTTCATATGGGCTATATAATGCACAACTTTGTGACAATATATCATTAGAATTAGGTTTTATCTTGGTATAACTGTCTTCATATGGGCTATATAATGCACAACTTTATGACATATATCATTTGAATTAGGTTTCGTCTTGGTATAACTGTCTTAATATGGGCTATTTAATGCACAACTTTACGACAATATCTCATTACAATCATGAAAATGAACAGCAATTAATATTATGATTAAGAGTATTAAGTTTTGACGCTAGGAAGTGTTGTATTGATCTCACTCATCAATCTCTTTTCATCTTAATGTTGTTATATTCTCTTCTCCACTTTTTTGTGGATGATGTTTGGCAGTTGAGCTTTGTCATTTGGAGGTTGGTGTTTGGCATCCTGTAACAAATGACATGTTTTGACATTTCACTTTCTTGTTTATTCTAAGTATTCCAGTTCAATTCTGATGTAAACAAAATAATTGCATGTCAAAATTTGCTTTCAGTGGGTGGTACATTTGAAGGAGCGACTTGTGATATGCTGATACGTTCACAACAGAGACTTGAAGACAACTTAAAACAGCATCAAAAACGTCGTACAATTGTTGATAATCTTCGTCTTGATATGAAACTACCCCCAAGTAGAAACTCTCGCTCAAATACAGCAAGGAGTTCTGTGACGCCAAGCAGTGGTGATGCAGGATAGTGCTTGAGGATCACATCGTCAATGTATGATAGTGATAATCTCAAACTAAAGGAGAGATGCAAGTGGTTATTGTACAAAGTTGTTAGGGATAATATATTTTGAAAGCTGAGGTTTGAATCATAAAAATTTGAATTGACAAGCCAGAAATTTGAGGATTCAGGAAAAAACTGGATTGACTGTGTTCAACACACCTAAGTCATATGTTTGCATTTGCTGCAAGATGGACAGTGGACATGCATTATTTACTGTGTAGTTCATGGACTACTATTTTACGTGCTAATTTTTATTGTCTCATTTCTTGAAAGGATAGTTTTTTAACTTGCTTCATGGCACAAATATATCTATCCATCCAGTGATTACTAGTATGTTATTTTTTGAAGAAACATTCCATTTTTGCTTTTCTTTTCTTTAACCTCTTGAATACCCAGAGTGATGGATATATCCGTCACAAATGAAATAAGACTGGTGCCCAGAGGGACGAGAAAATCCGTCACAAAATTTTTCACAAAAATTGCTCTCATTTGAACAATTTTCATCCAATTTACACAAAAATTGTTTTAAAACGTGTAGAAATGATCTCTGCCGTCCAATTTTACTAAGCTGAGCATCTAAAGTTGTATAGGTATGTAATAAAATGTCAAAAGGTGGCAAAAAATGAAAAATTCTCTGGTTTCATGCCAATTTTAGAATCTGGGAGGTTAAAGATGGCAGTTAATAAATACTGTAGCTTGATTTTGAATATTTATTTATATTTATTAAATGTTTTTTGTTATACATCGATGGTTGAGCTATCATGCCCTCAAGAGATCTTGCATATTTGTGCCAGATGCATGTAATAAATCATTAAAAATGAAAGGCTGGTTTGTGTCACTCACAAATCATATGTCAGACTGATGTACACTACAATAAGCAAGATTTACTTGATCTCATCATTTTTACATTGATTTCAATAGATATTCACAGAATTTATGTTAATATGTTTATGTTAAATGTAAATATAGTACATGTGTTTTTAAGATGTATGAATAGTCTTATTTAATAATTATATAACATCTTTCTTTACAATAATATTGAATTCTAATTTTGAAGTTTATTGAAATTTTCATTGAACAGGGTCTCTCCGATCTGTTGTACTTAACATCACCATATAGGTAGTATGTTCTACCTCATTTCATCAAAGAGATGGATGACTGAGCAAATGATGAAATAGTCAGCCAAGCATGAAGTTCGCCAATAAGAGATAACAGAAACAAAAAGTATGAGGCATTCTCAGTCTGTAGCCTTGATCGATGATGGTCTATCTTTCTAATGTCAGGTTGCATATTCTACATGTTTACTGTATATCTATTGTTACGTAAGTTATTGCAAATGACCGGTCATGTTATTATTGGATATGAGTATTTTTATTCCTATATATATATTTTTTTAAATGTCAGTCCTTTTGGTAAATCTAGTCCAAAAGTATCTGGAAATTGTCATTAGATAGAAGTTTGCAATGAATTCTTATACTGTTCCTTCAATAAACTAATCGTTCACCATTATTGTTATGTTGCTTTCTCTTTCAAAAAGTATTATTTCCATTTTGACTTTTCGTGCTTATTCAACATACAGTGAAACCTGTACGGTATGTGTATAATTTTTTGGTCTTAAATTATCTCCCTTCTCCCATGGTCTCAAATATTAAGAACACCTATTAATATTAAGAACACCTATCAATATTAAGAACACCTATTAATATTAAGAACACCTATTAATATTAAGAACACTTTTGGCCCGTCCCAGTGTATGGTGTTTGGCTTTGACAGGTTTTAATCTTCATGAATATATAAAATGAAACTTTCTGGCTTTGCCAGACAATTAGAACAAATACTTCATGTCAGAATGCATCTTCCGAACACAGGTAGTGGATGATGTCTGGAACCCTGCGTTCGGAAGATGGTCTAATTCTACCTCTTTTAACTAGGTTTTGTATTTTGCAGACTCTTCATATGTGAGATGTTTCCGATGTATTGAATCAATGTGTCAATTAAGATGATTCACTGGAGTTATATCTGTAAGCCTAATAAGCCCAAACCGGCAATATAAAGCAATTAGTCTAATGCCTTTTATCTCTCTGTTCAGTAACAATACAATAAGACAATATACCTCTCTGTGAGCCCACACAAAGTACAATTATCACCACAACTTGGGTATAGAATATCACTGCAACTACAGTATAATGAAACGATCACAATTTTATTTCAATTATAAAGAATAATGAAACATTGGCTCTTCTGTCAGCTTCGTTGATGACATCATTTTCAACAATTGTTGCCATGGAGACATTTCATGGACAAGTCATATTCTACTTTCCCCAATGTAATTGCATGGGTAAGTCATATTTTCTTGATAGATAGAAGCATGAAATTCAGCCAGGCATTCTAAATCGTATGGATATGTCAGAAAATCATGACACTTCAATTGAAATGAAGATAAACCGTGGGGATAACAAAATTACTTGGTTGAAATGATTTGTAGAGGAAAGCCAATTGCTGATAATTGTTATCGATAAATAGTAGACTAATCATATCAGACATTTTCCTGGAGATATATTACACAGAGAAAAAGAGAGTGTACCCCCCCCCCCAGATTACTATTTTGAAGGAGTATTTTCTGATACAAATCCTCCTCACAGACAATACAAAATATTTTTTCCAATTAAAGTGTCATATTTATATTGGGCATGCTGAATAATGTAAAGCACTTACTTGCCACTTTGACTTTTTTGATAAAACAGTGTAATATTTATCACTATGTGCCTTTTTATTACTGGTTTTAACAGCATTTACACATGCCAAATATCCAGGAGTGGGATATGCATTATCTATCGGTCATAACACAACTTATATCAAGATAAAGTATCGGATTACTTGTCCTCACAATTGGAACATCATATGCAAGATGCAAAGAATGCATTGAATTTGTATTACTCGTAATTTATAGAAGTGGTCTGACAGCGGCTGATGATAATGTGGCCTTTATCTGTTTGTCATCATTATGTAGAACATCGTCTTATTTTTTAATTTTAGGCCAAATTTTGAAGAAAATGGGCCTCAAAATTTCAAAATTCGGGCCCACTTTTTGGTTTTAGGGACCCAAAAGTTTTTTTCTCAGACCAGAAATTTGGCACCCCCTTGTTGGTTCCCAGATCCGCCCCTGAACATTGACTTCTAACTGTGTGAATCGTGTGATCTTACATCTATGACATCCATGGTGACCTACTTCTTTTCTGGTGACACTGCAATTTTGATTGACCTTGTTACTTCAATGCTTTCGACAATGATAACCATTAACCCAACTCTCTTTGGATATATTATTACGAACAGTAATCAATCTCAATTAAACATAACAGATTTGTCCAGGTTCTGATAAATGCATTCCCAATTGGTCTTTACCTAATTAAATCATGAAAAAACTAGTTCACAAACAAGTTTATCTCACTGGGGACAATGCCATTGTAACAGAATTCGATATTTCCTGGCATAAATATCTAGGTTCCAATGTGAATGTTAAAAGTATTATGATTTGTCGGAGATGTTTATTACTTTTTATTTTGATATCGTGGAGTTGGTATGAAATTGCTTTGCCAATAGACGACACATTTTACATACAGTTTAAGTATTATTTTTAGTGTATTGCATTGCAAAAAAGGTTGCAAACATTTTTAACCATCCGGTCTTATATATTTGACTTTGTCCATAAGCTCCCCTGTTTTCTATGTCAATTTAAAGCTCGTCTATTTTTTCAATTGAATAATGCAAGGAACTAATTTATCTTCCATATGATATTTTCCAGACACTTTTGACAAGAACACCCAAGTGTAAAAAGAATCGTTGATCGAACTGATACCAGAAATTACTTTAATATTCTTCTCTTTAGAACTGGATTACCCCAGGGAGCAGACTATGTTCAAGATAATTTAAAGATTACTTATATTGCTTTTTACCATTTTCTTCAACGATGATTCAGGTTTTATTTTATTTCTGTGTCACGGGTTTAGAACTACATTTCTTCTTGAAAGCCCATGAGAGTTCTAATGTATTGCAGTTACACCCCAGTCACATTTCCTACAGCGACCGTGCGGTCTATCATTTCTGCGGCCAGTAACATTTCTACGCTCGCCGTGGAATTTCTGCGCTCTCATACTTTTGCAGTCACATTTTCCACGGCAGCCGCACGGTGAATTTTAAATTTCTGTTGATAAATAATACTTTTTCATTTTATTTACATCGGGACAATTTATAAATGTTATTCATAGTGCTAGGATGTAATATCAAATGAAAAGTGATCGTGAAACATTGACAAACTAGAGATCGAACGATCTAAGATTGCAAGCAATCTTACGGAGGCCCTATATTCGTTTCTGAACATTCAAAGGCCAGCCAAAGGTCAAATCTCTAATACAAGGTCATATATGAACTCCAGACAACTTGTAGATGATTTTTAAAAAAGGTTGGTCGAATTAATGCAAGTTGAAATTTGACCTTGAAAAATTCCGAAATTTGACCTTTTTTCAGTTTTGAGCTATAATATCTCAAAACTGGAGCCAAATTTTAATAGATAATCAATTGCTAATATGTGTAGAACCTTTAGTAGAGGAATATATATTCTGACTTTCATTTCAAAATATTGATTTGCAGAGCTGTCAAGTGTCCCGCGAATGGCGGGATTATCCCGCGAATTTGATCAAAATTAGGCTAATTCGCGTGTCCCGCATTGTCCCGCGAAGTCCCGCAAAATGTGGCTTTGACCTCCGCGAATTTCCGAAATTGTTGCAATCCCCTATATTTTGATTATCTTATCTTATATAAGAAGCTAAGTTTTTGCACTTTTGAGGAGTAAAGTTTACCTAATTTTAAGTACCTAGCATGCTGTTGTTTGGTATCAAAATAAAGGGGAAGGGTTCAACTTTCATTTTAATTACGAAAATAGGGATGTAGGTCACAAATAGTTCCAACGTTGGCCTTTTTACTACCCGTGTGGCCTTCATCTCAGAACTGAGCAAATGTTAGCAAACGCGAGTTACGATAAATGTACGCTGATATCTAGAAAGGGTTTGTATAAAAAACCGGGTACCGGGTAGTAAATCCTCCATGCTGGGTTCAAACTTGGTACCCGGTACCCGGTCAAAAAAACGGGTACCCAAAAAACGAAAAATACGAATATATAACATAACTAGATTTGTGAAATTGAACAAGTTCAATTTAAGACTCCAGATTTATTTGACCTAGATAGATCAGTAAAGAGCTGAGTAAGTAACTGAGTAATTAGCTGAGTAAGTACCTTAGTAGTA